TGTCTGTCTTTCAGCTTCTGTGGCAGGTTTAATTGCATATCAACCACAGTAAAATGCTGACAGCCAAATGCACAGTAAATTGTGAGATGTGTTTTGAAGCCCTGACCAAATGGGACAGATGTTGATTTCAACACTGTTCAAGATCACAAGAATCCTTGAGTTATTTTAATATTAACTCCTCATCTGGAAAGCTGCTTTTAACAGGGTGTCCTACATGGCCATTGCTGTTTCATAAGCTAAAGTATTACCTCTGCATTAAGTCTGGATTTTATAAACATGTTTTACACTAAGAGAAGAGGGAAGGGCTTCCTGTGGACAATTCCCTCAAAGGAAAGACAACCACTATTAGAAAGGGAAACTAATAATGACAGATCTGGATCAGGCTTACATACTCAGCAATTTCTTTGCTTCATTCTTCATTGGCAGTCAGGCTTTCCACATCTCTCAGGTGGGAACTGGGGGAGTGAAGTCCCTCCCAGTGTAATCAAAGAGCCACATTCAAGACCATCTGGTGAAACTGAATAGGCACAAGTCTTTGGGGCCTGATGGAGTGCATTCCAGGGTTGTGAGAGAACTGGGTGATGTGGTTGGCAAGTCATTTTCCATAATTTTTGAAAATTCACAGTGGTCAGACAAAGTCCCTGATGACTGGAACAAAAGGAAGCATCACATCTGTTTTTAAGAAGGGTAGAAAGAGGGACCCTGGTAACTACAGATCAGTGAGCCTCACCTCTGTGGCTGGGAAGATCATGGAACAGATCCTCACGGAGGCAGTGCTAAGGCACGTGCAAAAGAAAAGGAGGTGACCTGACACAGCCAGCATGGCTTCACTATGGGCACGTTGTGCCTGACCAACCTGGTAGCATTCTCTGGTGGGTGGCTGCAACACTACAAGGGAAGAAAACTAACCAGTGTCATCTACCTAGAGGTCTCTAAGGCTTTGACTTGATCTCACGTGACACCCTCGTCTCTAAAGTGGAGTGATATGGATTTGAAGGGTGCACTGCTGGGTAGAAAAGAAACTGGCTGGCTGGAGGTAGTCAGAGAGTTGTGGTCAGTGGCTCTGTGTCCAGGTGGAGGTCAGTGACAAGCAGTCCCTCAGGACTGTCTTGGAGCTGGCTCTTCACGAGCCGACACTGTATGCTCATAGATCAGAAAGCCAAAGCATCCCGGGCTGCATCCAAAGCCGGATGAGGGAGGGGGTTCTCCTGCTCTACTCTGCCCTTGTGAGACCCCCCTGGAGTGCTGTGTCCAGCTCTGGAGTCGTCAGCATGAAAAAGTCGTGGACCTGTTAGAGTAGGTACAGAGAAGGGCCACAGAGATGATCAGAGGGCTGGAACACCTTTCCTGTGAGAACAGGTAGAGAGAACTGGGGTTCTTCAGCCCAGAAAAGAGAAGGTTTCAGGGATACCTTAGAGGACCTTTCAATGCTGAAAGAGGCCATGGAAAAAAAAGAGGGGGAGTGACTTTTTACACAGGCACATATGGATAGGACAAGGGTGAATGATTTCAGACTAAAAGAAGAGAGATTAAATGTTAGGAAGAAATTCTTTACTCAGGGGATGGTGAGGGACTGGAACAGGTTGCCCAGAAAGTTTGTGGATGCCCTGTCCCCAGAAGTGTTCAAGGCCAGGCCAGATGGGGCCCTAAGCAACCTGGTCTAGTGAATGGCACCTTGTCCTTAGCATGGGGATTGGGAATTAAATGATCTCCAGGGTCCCTTCCAACCCACACCATTGTATGATTCTATGATTTTAATAAAATGTTGTGTTCGCACACACACACACATACACACACAAAAAAATCCTGCATTTCTTAAGTTGGGGTGATTTTAGGAGTTAACAACAAGCCAAAAGAAACAGAAAAGTTATGTTGTAATTTAAAAGATTCCTTTCATAGGACTTAAAAAAATACGTATCCTAATGCTGTCCTGCATTTAGTTCCAAGGCTGTTAAAAAAAGCTTTGGGAGACGTTTTCTCAGTACTTTCCGGTGTTGGATCAAGTACTTCTTGTTTCCCTCTAGTTTGCTGTTACTGGATTTGCTTGCATGGGTTTTTGATAGAAGAAAACAAGTTAACAAAAGCTCATGCATTAGCATCTGGAGATGCTGTTTGAAGGTAATGCAAGTCCAGGATACTGCCAGTAAAATGGTCAGGGAGTGTCCTCTGCAGAGGCTGCCAAAGACAAATAATTTCCTGTAAGGGCTCTGTATTTGGAGGCAGTGTGAGCTGATTAAACTCATTAAAGTGATTGAAGGAATGAGGGTGGTTCCTAGGGGCTGGGCATTAGTGGGGTCAGGCTAATGGCTGAAGATCCCTCTCTCCTGAAAAAGAGGTGAAGGCAGAGTGAAAGCCTGGAAAGCAGTGTGAGACACACAGAGTCAGCATAGCTCTCATTTCAACTCAGCTTATATATCTGCAGCATACAAGTAATTTGCCTCAATAATTATTTTGGACAAGTTTTTCACAGAAAAGCTGCATCTTATTAGTGGAGTTTTAACTTCCTACTCTTTTATTTCATTGGCTGTACCAACAACTTTATGTAATGATACATTTGTTATTTCCTTGTATGTGTTTAAAAAAAGATGCATGTCTGTGCCAAAGAGAGCACAGGGTGCTGGCAGCATGGTAAGTTATATATGCATCCTTGTTCCTTTGGTTTTGGCTAGGAAGCATCACTAACTCCACAGTGCCCAGGGTGACATCTTGGGTATCAGCCAGGACACGTGTCCTCACCCTGCTGCTTCGGGCACATGTTGGGGGTAGGTGGCCTCTAGCTGACTGTGCCCTGCCAAGCCAGAACCAGGGAAAGTTTTAAATAGCAAAAGGAGCCTTTAACTTACCCAAAATTGCCAAGTATAGCTGAAGGCAAGAATGACGAGGGAAGAATAGCGTGTCCTGTAGTGTTCCTACATGTACTATAAAGAATAAAATACAGTGTTTTAGGAGGAATGCATGTCCAAGTGGAGAATGACCATCATTGTAGCTTACTTTAGTTTATGGTTAAAGAAATGCAAGCTGCTTTTCCAGTCTTAAGCAAACAGAAGAAGCCCATTACTAAGCTCTGTGTTGATATAGTTCCCTTCCAGGTCAGTGCATCACCCGAAAAAAGAGGATTTTTTTTTTTGTTTTCCCTCTGGCTTTTTCTTTTTTTTTCCCTTTTTATAGACACTGGAATAAAAAAAGGAGGGAATGCAGAGAGAAAATTAATCTTCAATTCTTCAATTCCCAAAAGAAGCATGTGGACCTTTGCATTCTTCAGTTTGCTTATTTTTTTCAAATGAAAAATCATTTAAATAATGAAGCTTTAAAAATAACTCATGCATCTTTGATTTTTGTATAGTCCTTTGTCTGGATTTTTTTTTGGCTATTGTTGTCTCTAGAAGATGAGCTTACATTAAGAGAGTTTTAAAAATGTTTGGGTGCTCTTTTATTCCCTGTGAGGTCTAAAAATAGAAGCTGACAAATAATTGCTTATAGACTCACTGCTGTGTTCCGAGGGTTTAGTCTAAAGCTGCATCTTCTGACTTTGCAAAGCTGAGCTGTGCAGAATCACCAAGGCTGGGCTTACTGAGCATAAGCAGGGAGGAGAGCAAATCTCTCTATCAGCCCTCCTGTTTATCTCCTCCCATCTCCATCCTTGGGGAGACGAGTGCCAAGGCACAGCACCAAAAACGTGTGTGAGAATGGGAGTGAGGTGTAAGTACTGGGAGCACAGGAAGAGGGATGGTGGGAGAGGGCTAAGAGAGGTTTTATTTATTGGTACTGCTGCTCATTTGAGGGGGTGGATAGCATATAGTTGCAGTCTTACATGGCTTTTTAGTTACTTCTATAACTAGAAGACTTGGCCAATGTATTTGGGTTTCTTGATGTTGCCTAGTCTAGCAGCATAGTGTTGTCATCGTCACCACGGGTTGCAATTGTACTCTAAAAGCTTGGTGCAAATTGGGAGAATAGAGGCAAATGTGTGTAATCTGCATTTAATGTCTATAAGATACATTATAACCTACTAGGTGATAACATATATAAAATATAATCAATGTAATGGGTTGATTATAATGGGTGCCCACTTCTGAAAGGGTGTGAGGTCTTCTGCACTTTAGGGCCTCCAAGTCGTTGTGTCTGAGTGCTGGAGAGGTGACAAGAGAGAAATTCAGCACAGGACAGCTCAGGGCTGTGTGGAAAAGTGCATTTGCTGATGTTTGTGAGGGGGGTTGGAAGAGAAGTGGTGTTATTAAAGCAGCAGCTTATGACAGAAGTGAGCTGTGCTTCCTCTGCCTGGTGCTTGCTGACTTCAAGCAGAGTGTCATGCTTTGGGATGCTGTCTTGATTTCACACTTGTGGAATTAGTGTGTTGCTTGTCTGTGTTGCTGAAGGTGAGAACTAAAATTTGGTTTATGTAAGTGATAGCTCTGTGTTGGGCTCTGCTGTCCTTTGGACTATGTAGCTGTTTGGATGTATCAGGGAGAACTGCAAGTGCTGGAAGGTGGCTCAGGTGGCACAGCTGGTGCCAGCTCTTCTACCATACAAGTCATGATGTGTCTTGCTCTTAACCTGACCCAAGTCCTGAAAGAATAGCCTGAACCCTCCATTGCAGCCCTTCTTGGGGGCAACATACTGTTAGATTAGCTGGAGTCAGATGTAATACTGTGCCTTTGACTTGGGTAGGGGGCATCTTCTGCCTGCTGAGTTATCAATGCAATGTGCCTGCTGGTATAAAGGTGTGTTGGGCTCTTGGACCTTCATGGGAAACCCTGGGACCTAACCAGGGTGGAAAATGGCAAGATAAACCACACCAAGGTTTTTTTTTGCAACACATACGAGTAGTTTGCTTTCTGCCATTGTATGCCCTGCAGTTACAGCTTACAGTCTATTCCTTCCCCACCAGCTCCAAAGGAACCTGCCTTTCCTCTGTGTTCAAAGACCCCTGTGTTGGTAAAGGATGGTACCTTTGCTGTGCCAGAACTGGATAACTGATCAACTTGTTATTTCCTTTGCAGTGAGCCTGAGGAGCAAGATAGTGTGGATTGCCTCCTGCCTTGCCTCTTCTCCCAGCTGCCTGCGGTGAGCTCTCGCGTGCCAGAGGACGAGGGTGGAGGAGAGCAGCCACGTGAAGCTGGGACAGTGTGGCTGAGCCAAAGGGCTTTTGACCTGTGGGCTGTGGCAACTGGGGGTCCTCACCACCCTGCAGCAGAGACAAGTGGCTCCTGCCAGGTAGATGCCTTCAGGGGAGTGGCCAACTCCAGCTGAGCTGATGAATCTTGGCACCTGATACAAGGCTCAGGTAAGGGCACATTGCTGGGAGCTGGGTTGTGCTTTCATCCTGTCTTCTCCAAACTCACAAACTGGCTCTAGAGCAAATGAGAATCACACTGAGAGCTGTTATAAATGGTGGTTACACATGCTACTAAATCAGCAGGATCTCATCTACAATGATGCTGGATGCTCTGGCTTGTTGGGGTGTTGCTGGTGGCATCAAAGTGAGTTGCAGTGGAGGTGTTCCCACTGCCTCTGCTGAGGGACATGACTGTGATTTTATCCAGTGCAGCATCCAGTGCAGTTTCAGATACAGTGCAAGTTTACTAGGACAGGAGATAATTTGAATTTTCTGTAGCACATCTGTGATTCATCTAAAGTGATCTATAGGCAGTCATTTTCAAAGACCCCAAGACAGTTAAAACAAACCTTCCTGCAATACAGCTGGCTTAGTGCTCCTTATGCTCTTAAAACAAACAAACAAAAAAGCTTGCTTGAGTTCCCCTGGGTTGTAGTCAAGGAAATAAATATGCAAACAGGATCTCCTGTATCTTGGTTCATCCTGCTTGATAGTAATTTCATTCCTGAAGCCATAATTCACTTTGTGAGTGCAGGTCTTGATTTCCTTTCGGGTAGCAGGGATGTAATTGTGTGCCGGATTTGAGCTAAGGTCAGGGATGCACAGTCCAGTGAAGTGTTTTGAAGCTGGTGCTGGCCAGGATGTTTGCAGTCTGGGTTTGTTAATGGGAGAGCATCTGCACATGGGGATCAGCAGAAGTCCATGATGCGAGTGCACTGAATGTGTTGTCCATTTTGGAGTAGAAATTTAGGGGTCTAGTAAAAAAATGCTGCAGCAGCTGCAGCACTGGAGATGGCAATGCTGGCCTGTCTTGCACCACGGCCTCAGGAGCAGGTTGACTTCTGCATGGGGCTGGTTCTCACAAAGCAAAAGCTCTGCCTGCAGTCAGCAGCACATGGCCATCACTTCCTCCTCGGCTTGTCACCCCATGGGCACACAGCCAGGTGTGCCCATGCCCACCTGTAACAGCCCACAGCCCCTCCTGGCTGCCCTGGGGGCTTTGAGGTTTCCTCAGGCTGTGGTGGAGCAGTCCCAAAGCCGTGCTCACTTTGGCTGTGCGTGGTAGGTATGTGCAGTGGTGTAATGCTGTGGCTTTGCTTCTGAAAGGCTTTGAGCTTGTGGGAAAAGAGCCTCTGATGGCAGCTCCTCTTGCAGCTGCTGACTGTCCCCCCATGTTCTACAAGGCAGCCAGGATGGGCAGGTTGCTTCAAGCCCTTAGCCTGTGTGGTTTGAAGCATGTCAAGGTGCCTGTTTCATGCACGTAAAAAGCCCTAATGGGGCTTACTCAACTTCTCACAGCTTGCTTTAGTTGCTTTCACTGCATGGCCAGGTTTATTCCAGGGTGTGCAAGTGCATGAGTCACTGTTACAACTAGTAGAAACTTTACAAGTGAGTAGTAGCTTTAAAAGTGCTTTGCTGGGAGGGGGTGCAGACTGCAGATGTACCTTGTGAGAGGCTTTTTCCTCTTAAGAGATTTATAAGCATTTTTGCTTGCATAGATGTATATGATTTTCCTTTAAAACTGTTCCCCTAAAGCAAAAATTGTAGGCTGATAACATAGATGGCTAAAGACATAAAATGCTGTGTAGAAATGTGCTTTTAAAATAGAACATGAAACAGGAACGGTGATTTGTTGTGTTTCAGTGGTTGGTGTGACTGGAGTAAGTAACCTTTTTTACCTTATTCCACAGCAGTAGTTTCACACTGGTAGAGGCCAGAGTGGTAGTGAAGTACAGTGTGTCAAAACTTGCCTTTTTTTTCTTCTCCTAGCAGCAGTCTCTATTTAAAGTTAAGTGGACATAGTCAGAATGAGAGCACACATTTACCTAAACCCATTTCTGCTTTTTCAATGACCTTCCACCAAATAGAAACCAACTACAAACATGTAGTCTTCATCTCAAATAGCTTGAGTAGATACTGTTCTACAGTACAAAAGATTTAAAAGCTGGGTTCCAGAATATCCTCACATCCAGGCTGAGACTGAGAACATGTTGCTATGCTGTGTTTCCTAAGAAGAGAATTTGCAGATATTTTCATTTTGACAAGTACTGGCAGGGTGATTGCTGATGAATGGATAAGTGTGAGACATGGTGTTGTGGCTGGGGGTGACAGGGAACGTGTGTGTGTCCTGGGCTGTGTCACAGGGAGCACTGCTGCTGGGCCATGGGAAACACTCAGTTCTCCTGGGCAGTGAGCAGGGCTGCAGAACTGGGCTGGTGGACAGAGGTTCCCTTCTCCCAGCCAGGCTGGTCCTCGTGGGTGCTATCCCATGTGGGGCAATGGGAGCTTGGCAGATCTGACTGGAAAAATATGGGACTTGTGGGACGAGTATAACAGTAAATCTGATTTATGGAGAAAAATTTTGACATGGAGTCTTGGATTTTTGATGCAGATACTTTCCTTTTGCTGCCAATATTTGAGATTCCAGCTGGTAAATTAATTCAAGGAAAGTCACTTTCATTCAAAAATTTGGTATTTTATTTCAGGTTTGCTGATAGCTAGATAATGTTCAATGTTGGTAGGCAGTAATGTGCAGTTTCATTAAACATTTTTAGGCTTATTGTATTTGGTATGAATTTTTACTTCCTTAAATTGTTGACTGAAAGCTGCAAGTGTCAGTGTGAGATGACAGATTGTGAATGTTTTCAACTCATTCTTTTTTAAAGGAGCTAGTTCATAACTTTGTTTTGGGGTTGAATTTAAATGTGCAAAGTTCAGGGCTTTCTGTTGCTTATATCCTAGTTAATTATCTAACACCATTGTTGCACAGTTCACATTTTCTTACTATTCCTGTTCATAGCAGCTTCATCTTGTGTGTTTGTCATGGAAAAATAAAAGTCTTTGCTAAGAAAATACAGTACTCTCAGGAGATAATTGGGTGGTAGGGTTGAGAAAGTAATTTAAGTGGTGTATTAAAAAAAAGAAAGTGTGCAGTCATACATAGGTATATGAAGAAGCATGGCAGGTACAGTACAGCCTGTTCCTATTTATAGGAAGCCTGTTTACATCAAGTTAAAAAATGATGTGTTTCATCAAACCCTTCAGAAAATAAATCTCAGTAGTTTCCATGTACACGAGGTGTCATTTCCCTCAAGCAAAGGCTATATAACATCATGATGTCAAAACTGCTCTGGAGTTTGAGCACATGCAGAATGCAATAATGAAAATACCCCTATTCAATATCTGCTGTTACAGAGCTAAGCTGTGTTCTGTTCCCTCTCCAAGTACTTTGACAACCACCTCATTGAGCCCAAGCAGCAGCACTGTGGTCACACCCCAAGGCTGGTGAAGCCACTTGCCATCTCCATCCTTCCCACTGCCATCACTCGTTTTCTCTGCTTTCAAGTTTTTTCCTAAATTTGGACATTTGCAGAGTTATAGAAAGAGAAAACAAATATGCATATTCCAGGAATGAGATTAAAAACTGGCTCCTTTGCACAAGTTTGGTGTTTCTGGCTGCAGAGAGACTTTTGCAGAGGTGAATGCCAAAATATATATGTTCTTGCTGTGTAAATCCTCCCATGATACCAAGTTGCTCTTCCTTTGTTATTCTCTTAGAGTGTGGTCAGAGATATTCAGAATAGCTTTCACTTGTAAGTGTCTTGAAAAATTGCCCATTTAATCTGACATCCAGTGTATTTTTCCCCTCTAGCCTGCAGAATATTTGTATTTTTAGCAGCATGTAAAAGACATCATTGGAATTTTTTGGCCCCATAACAACAACAACAACAAAAAAGTCAGAACTGGGGGAGTGAAATTGCCTATAAGTTTCACAGGAGATGTGAGAAGGAGGAGATGCAGAAGTATTAGGTGACACAGTGAGACAGTTACTCAGACCTTGCTGCATTGGAAAATTAAGCTGTGATTAAAATGTACTGATCAAAGTTCACATTTGAAGTAGGAGCTGTAGCTTGGGAAAATAAAAGAACAAAATACACTTTAATATTTCTGTCCTTGCTCTGTTTTGGTTGTGGAGTCAGTAAGAGGGGAAAGATACACCCATTTCTGGTATGAATTTGAAGAATGTGCATTTTCCCAGTGTCGGAATGGATGAGTGTAACGTGGTGCCATGCCTGTGCTGCTGTCTGATAACGGGTCAGGAAAGAGCCCTGATTATATAACCCCCTTCCCTGGGGGTTTTTTCTCCTTGGTGTGTTAGTTCCACCTTTGGTGAATGAGGAGTTATGGCTTGACAGGGAGGATGCTTCCTTGGGCGTGTACAGGACAACACTCAAGTTGTGTTTGATGTGGGAACTTACTTGCTCATAGGGATGTGTATGGGATGAAGCAGAGCAGGGGGCACAGACCCCAGGGACCTAGACTGGGTCTTGCTTAGACCAAGACTGGTCCTTCTCAGCATAGGTGGGGACATCTTGCTGCTGTGTTGTTTTCTTTTGGAGTTGTATACAGAAGGTAATCACCTAGAGGCCAATTCACTTGTCTCATGCACACTTCAGTAGGCAAAAACTTCTTTCAATTTCTTCTTTGATGTTAAATCTGCCTCTGGATGCCCCTGCAGAGCATCTCCTGGCTTCCCATCCACAGGTGGGGCAGGATCATGGTGGTTTGCTGTCATCCACGTGGATGCTGTGCCAAGCAGCGCCCGGCTGGCGCCTGTCCTGTGCTGGGCCAGCGCTCTGTGCCTGGTTTGCGTGTCTGGATTTAAAAGCCATGTCTTTCACACTGCCATGTGTGTGCCTGAGAACAAAGGCAAGACCCTCCCCTTGCTCGGGTTGGGCTGTGTCCCAGAGCAGGGAGCAGGGAGCTGGCAGTCCTGCTGTGTGCAGGCAAGCTCCACAAACTCTGTACAGCGGCTGTGCAACCTCAGCCTAATTTTAGCTGTGGGATATGGCTGGAAGCTAAAATTGTCAGCAAACGTTTTTTGTATTAGCACTTTCCTAAAATACTTCACATGCTGTGTACACATTTACTTATCTCCTTTCCCCTCCCTCCTGCTTTTTTTTTCCCTTACAGCTTCTGATATGAAGAAGGATATAGAGTCTTTAATAGCCCAGGAAAAAGCAGAAATCGTCGCCAAGTATGAGAAGGTACCAGCCTCGTGCCTCTCCCCAGCATGCTGGCTGGGGCTGAAGCTGTTTAATCAGTTAGGAATGCATCAAATAAGAACTTTTGCCTCCCTGCAGGCATCGCCCCAGTAACCCTCGTGCCATTAGGCTTCATGCCAGCTCTCCCTTCCTATATATCCCCCCTCACTGCTTCCCTGGAGTTTATTGAGGGTCCCATGTGTGCTCAGCATAGATGCTGAAAGGTGCTGAACTTCTGGTACTTCAGTGCTCCCTTAACACCAGGATTGCTTATTCCCAACACTGTTTTATCTGATGTACAGCTTTTCCCAGCCTCTAGCAGAGGCACACATGGAATGCTGGATAGGCTGAACTTTGCATTTTTCTCTGCCTTGAATTTGGCTCTTTAGTGCAGGTTTTTCTCTCCTGGTCCTGTGTCTTTTATCATTCAGGAGAGAGGGATGTAAGCTTTGGGTGCAGGATGCAGGCACTGAGGCATTTTTCATGCTGGGACCAGCTCACAGGTGTCCCTTCTGCTTTCAGGGCAGACAGGAAGGAGCTCAGATTGACCAGTGGGAAGATGCTGATTTCACCCTCTACAAAGTTACAGACCGGTTTGGATTCCTGCAGTAAGTCCTCCTGCCCTCTCCTTTCCTCTCTGACCTTTGTGTGTGTGTGTAGACCATGCTTCTGCACTGAGCATGACTGGCCCAGCATCTCTCCCATAAGCTGCTCTGTGGCTTGGCTTGATCAATCCCAAATGCAGGAGGAAAGACTAAATGGGCCTCCTTCCTCAGCTGTGCATGTCTGGACACCGATGCTTTGAATTTTCTGCAAGACAAGGTTCAGAAAAGGTTTCCTACCACAAGCCTGGCATTAGAAGGTGCAAGCTGGTGACTCTGTGCCTCCATGGTGTGCCACAGAAGGGAGGCCCTTGTGTTTTCACCTGATGATTCAGAGAGGTATAGGAAGAGACCAGAAAAGATAGCTGATCATCTTTGGCTCCCTTAGGAAACCTTTCCTTTAGAAATCTCCATCCTAACCAAGGCACACATAAATTACACACCCTGTGCCTGGGAAGAATACTTAAAAAGAACTATTTTTATTCTGATTCTTAACAGAAGTTACAGTAGTAGGTGTTCTGTGTGCAGGAGGGAGGTTTTAAGCTGTTGCTGTCTAGAAATTCTGCTTCCCCACCCTTTGGATTGCTGATCATGTGTCTATTGAAGAGGAGATATATGCTCAGGATTTCTAGTTATGTCCAGCAGCTCAATTACCCCCCAGAGCTCCTGTTGGGTGGTGGGATTTTGGATGGTGCTTCTCCTGCCTCTTTCATACTGGGGACAGCTGTAGGAAGGGCACAAAGTCCCCAGCACATACCCCCTCAAGTGTCTGAGGTGGTCCATGAGCTGCAGCACCCTGTGCTCCCCACACCCTTTCTTGCCCATGGAGTAACCAGTGACCCCTTGCTTTTCCAGCGAGCAGGAGCTGCCAACCCGCACCGCCTTGGAAGAGAAGGTGAGAGCTGCCAGCTCTGTCTTCATGGATGTGGCATCCTTTTCACACCAGCTGGGGAGGGAATGTGTTTTGAGGAAATGAGTGAGCAAGTAAGAGCAAAGCAGGCAGCCAGCACCCACTGGTCACTGCTGCTCGCCCAGAGGTGGGGACTCTGCACAATGCCCAGCTGTTGGAGCTTTTATTTTGCTTGGTCAGACAATTTTCCTCCTCCACATGGCACTGCAAAAGCACCTGTTAAAGCAATATTGGGCTTTTCCCTCTGCTTGGGCACAGTGCTCAGCAGCTGTGGATCATAAAGGGGACTGCATGTGTAAAGGAAGATGGTAGAAGTTGTAGGTAACCATCACCTCCATCCTCATCTCCCCTGAGATGTGAGCATATCCTCTGGTAGAACCCGTTAGATGGGACTGAATCACACTTCTTCTCATCTGATATAGTGACAGGATTTGAGTCTAGCTGGACCTGCAAAGATTTTTATTGTCAGGGAATACTCTTGGGAATGCTTTTTCTATGTTAAGCCTGCGTGTCATGTCATTTTCTCCAATGCTGCTTTTAATTACCAAGTGCTGAAATTACCAGTTTCTGCACGCATCTGTGGATTATTCCCATCCCTGATGTGAGGTTTTTGCATAGAAGTTTAAACCTAAGAGAATTAAGTTTTGTATCTTCAAGAGGGATCTCATGGGGCTTTTTTTTTTCTTAATTTTGTCTTTTCTTCTCCTTTGCACCAGCAAAAACAGCAGGAAATAGAACGTGTGGACAAGTGGCTTAAGATGCTGAAGAAGTGGGGCAAATACAGAAACAGTGACAAGGTAAGGAATAAAAAAGTGTATGTCTTGAAGGGTGTGATGGGTGTGATGGATCCTTATGATGAGTCAGGCTTTCAAAAAGTCAACGGAAAAACCAGAGATCTCTGGAACATTGCCTGATTCTACTTGTTAGTCTTTAATATTTTAAAGCTTTCCTAGAAATTTCTGTGTACCAGTCGAGGTAAAAGTCGTGTTCTGACTTACATAGCTTTAAAAAGGGTTTCCTAAATGCTGCTGCCATTTTTGCACTTATACATGTGCAAGCCAGGAGCACAGCAGGGATGTTTGTGTGCCCAGCTGGCTCCCTGCCCTGTGAGAGCAGAGGGCCATGCACACCAGAAGTTGCTTCTGTATTTCCACCTCCTGGAAATTATGTGGGAGATGTGACTGATACAGCCCAGTTGATGTTCCTTGTAATTCTCCCTGGAGGAAGAATTATTTGTCTAGAACAATACTTAGATTTTGTATTTTGCTCCTAGCTGTGCCTGTGGGAAGCCACTTGGGCTTCATATTTTGTACACCTGTCTGTAGAAATCAAGGATGGAGACACCAACTTTATGTCTTGGCTCTGGTGTTAAAATGAGCTCTGCACCAAACACCACTTCAAAACTGAATTGTTTTTAATAAATAGTATCTGTTATATGTTCCTCTTACAAACCTCTTGACACAAAAAACCCTTTGAACCTAATGACACGACCCTTGCTGGGTCAGGAGAGGAGCGTTGTGTCTGACCTGCTCTGCTTGCAGCACTCAGCACAGGGGAGGGCTGAAGCCTGGCACTGCCTTGTTGCCATGGCCTCTGCAGCCTTCATGTTTAGCAGGAGGAGTGGGGTGTTTGGCTGGACTGCTTCTAGCTCCTGCTGGGAGTCCTTGGGGGAAATTTGAGCTTGGTTAAAAAGGCTAAGTAGAAAGAAATATCTGAAGAATATCTGCATAGCTGTAGAGACAACATAGAGCAGAGCATACTCCTTGCCCAGCTGTCAGGAGTCGTGTCCAGATCAGCAGCCAAAGACCAGCTGTAGTCTCACTTTTCAAAACAAAATCAGAAACAAAATCATCTTAATGACAGCAGGGATGGGGTGGAGGTGGGCTTGGGGTTTTATAATCCTTCTGTTCACATCAGGGTGGTTCTAATTACTTTGTTAATCAGTGCTGCTTAGCAGGCAAAATCAGAGGCTCTCCTGTGACTTGGTTCTTTCTAATTAGAAGTTAGCACTAATTGGTTGGTGACCTTGTGGGTAAACCACCAAATTCCAGAGGGGTACAGGGAATTCCTTCAGGTCCTGGAGGGTGTTTGGGGTGGGTAATGATGAATGGTTTTAGCACACCTTGGCTTTCCTGGGTCAGATGGTGAGGACAGGCAGGATCCAGCGTGAGTGATGGGGAGCAGTAGCAGTCTCTGATCTCTGTCTGTTTTGGATTTCCCTTGATAATTACTGGGGGTGTTAAGCACACTGCAGCTGATGTCACTCAGATCTGCTGGCTGGAGAAGGGTCAGACTGGCAAGTGGGTCTTGAGGGTCTTTGGGTCAGAAAATGAGAAAGCTCTTGTGGTGGAACAAAGGATGTTATGAATAACAGCCTGTAAATGGTCGATGGCTCTTGGACACAGAGGTGGCATTGTCCCATGCTGGGAGACCGGAAATGGCCATCCCTTCTCCCAGCAAATAGAGAAGCAGTGCTTGGCCCCAGGCGGGGAAGGAACAGTCTGGTGACCCTGGGGAGTAGAAAGGAGCTTTGGTTTCAGTCCTGCCCAGCCTAACACCCATTGCCTGGCACCAAGGCAAGTGCAGGCTGTAAGGTCTGTAGCAGCCACACACCATTAAATGCAAAGATGCTGAAAGGCACAAAAGAAGTGTGCCTTCTTTTAATAAAAAAAAGTAAAATTAGATTGTATCCTACACCTAGATGTGAAAGCCCATGCTCTTGTGTCAGGAGTGTGGAAGGTACTCAGATATTCCTGCTGCCACAGCTGGTTGGAGTTCAACTGTGGCATTTCAAGGACCTTATGCTGGGATCACAGTCATGTCAGAGGTTATGTGCTTTGTTGTAGCTAAAGTAAATGTGACAGTCCCTTGATCTGATTTTTCTAAAGCAGAGTGGGATGGTTTTGTTCCTTCTCCGAGCGCTCAGGCTGCCACATTTGCATTGCATGTTCCCTTCAAGTTTGTTTTCACCACTTGGTTGACATGATAGAAACTCAAATGTCACAGACAGCCACTCTGTGTTATTTTAACAATGACTAAGGTGTCAAATTTTGAAAAAATCCTCTTATTGAAAACAAGAACCTTCCCTTTGATGTTAATTTTGATATGATGTACTTTATTAGAGGGGGGAAAAATCTTGTTGCAGGAATCGCAAGCAGTTTCACAGGGAAGTTGCCCTGACTTTGACTCTGCTTGAATTATGCAGAAACCTATCTTATTTTCCAGACTGGGACTTCCTGGACTTAAGGGCCAACCTTTTCAGTCCTTGTTCATGTGCTGGAGCTGGCAGACATCTGATCATATCTAGTGCTTGATGAAGAGGGACTTAGCAAGCAAGCCTTTGTGTTTTGCATCATCTTAGTATCTGATCGAGGCTTAGGTTGTTGTCTCATCTTCTGTGTTGTGAAATGTCAGCAGGAGGAGCGAGCTTGTGTATCCATCCAGGGCATTGACCCCAAAGCAGCCACCTGTCAGTGGGCAAGAAAGCAGCTTTTTCAGACCCTTGGTATGAGCCAACGCCAGAGAGCAGCAGGTTTGGCTTTTTGTTCCCCCCTGCAGCCTGTGTGCATCCTTGCATGCTGCTGATGGCAGTCTGGGTCTTGTGACTGTCACAGATTATTGGAAATAAGGCTGAAAAAAAAGAGTGGGACCTTTTACAGTTCCTTGACTAGAATGGCCTGGCTAGGAACTGAAATAATTTCTGGCATAACCTGTTTCAGGATGAGCAACAAATAGGATTATCTTAATTAAAGTAATGTCCTGGGGCTCCCTGTGCTCATAATTTTCTTAGATCTGTCTCCATCTCTGTTCTAGACACATTTTGTAACAACCTGATTTAATTTCAAGATCAGCCAAGAGTGACACTCAGCACAATTCCTCGTATGGGTGGGGTTAGAATGATGCAATGGTGCCTTTTTCTGGCTGAATTTCCACAAGGGAAAGGGTACAAAAATAAAGGAGTCCATGAAAGGATGGCATTGTTTTGCAGAGTTAAGGTATGTCAAACCTGCAAAGTGCTAAAATGTGTTATTCAGGGTTCAGCACAGGGAGGCTCATGTGGTCTGTCTCCTCTTCACTGCTGATTTGAACCCAAGTTTAAACACCAGCCTGACTTTGCTTGGGAAGGTTAGGAAATGGCTGGTGCCTTGTAAGAATCTACACAGTTCAGGCAGCACAGTTCTGCTGGTAAAAAAGGCTGTGCTGTGTGTGCTGCAACAGTGGGATAATTTATTCATCATAGCCCTGAAGTGGATTTCAGCCAGAAGCATCAGTCATAGGAGGAGGAGATGACCTCTGCATCATTTGCAAGCTGCATCTTGCTGCTGGCCATGTGGGATGGGACCTTTAGAGAGGGATGTCTTTGGTGATAGATGTCTGGTTTTTAGGCAAAGCCTGCCTTTGTGCAGGGGGAAAGCCTTGCCTCTGCTAAGGTCACGGGAGTGCAGAGCACTTAATCCAGTGCATGCCAGCAAAGCGGTTTAGGATGAATTGGGGATCTGTATGGACTGACACAACCCCCCAGGAGTGAACAGTCTGCTAATGCCAGGGACAGCCAGCAGACGTGTGTCGTGCCAGGGCTGGCTGAAGTCAGATCTCCTGCCTCAAATGCCATGGGAAGGAAGGGAAAGGGGGTTGTGTCTGGGAATTGCAGGGCGGCTTCTCCTGCCTTTTTTTTTTCTTTTTTTTTTTTCTTTTTTCCCCCCCTCATTTTGGAAAGGCAAAAATTCCTCTCCTCCAAAGGTAGCCTGGGCAATAACTGTAAATGCCTGCCCATGGCCCACCAGCTTTAGGATTTAAATTTGCCCCTGCTTTGCTGGTACCCCATCAGGAATAGCTGCATAGGCTCCAGCTGCAGGCACAGCAGCTGTTGGGAGCAATCATTAACTGTATGGAAAGAAAGCCATGTGTGCTGATGTCCAGACTGCCAAGCATCCTGCACGGCCACATCATCAGTCAGCAGGTTTTGTGGTACTAAAAAGAAACCCTCCACTCCAGGTGAGGATTGGCACAGCTCAGTTCCTCTGGTGCATCACTGGTAGAGGATGTGAAGAAGTCCTTTCTCTTTGGAAGGATCACTCTTTGAGTCCTAAAGGAATTGAGGAAGGTGATATCCCTTTTAAGTCCTTCCATATATTCAGCATGTGTGTCCAACACTTTAGGAGTGTTGGAGATATCGCCATGGGTACCCAAAATTTGGGCATTGCTCCTGCAGTCTTTTCCTGGTGATCCATGGACATGGCTGAGAAGTTAACAGTGACAGACTCCAAAGTGTGAAGGTGAACCGCAATGTGTATATTCTGCTTCAAAAACCAACCCACCTCTCCCAAATCCTTTTTAATTTCACTGTCTTTACTGCTTCAGAAAGATGTTCTGTCTTTGAAGGCAGTGACTCCATCCCTCATATTCAAGACCTGGAACAATTGGTTGGGTACTTCTCAGAGGAGATTGCTGGTTCAGGAGGATGGAACTCAAGTCTGTACTTTCATAGTCTTCCCCATCCCATCTACCTCAAAGAAAATATGTGGGCAGGGGAGAGATAGAGATGGGATGATGATGGCCTCTGTGCCATGAGCTTTGTATGTTAACATGTGGAGAGGGAAGATGATCCTATGGCAAAACCTGGAGCAAGTTTTAGGTACTGGCTTCAATCCTTGGCTGACACAGCCTTTCTACAGTGTCTCAAACCATTGCTTTGACCACCAGCATCTCCTTTTGTGAAGCAGAATGGTGCTTGTTCTCTTGCCTGTGCATTGGTCTGTCAGCCTGCATAGGACATGATCCAGGTGCTCTCTTCCCATCTGTAAGGGCTGAGTGGTTTAAAAGAGAGTGACCTTGAGGGTTGTTTTTGACATGTGGTACAAGAGTTATCATGTGCTGCCTCACCTCTGTCTTTTCATCCCATCATAAATACTGCTTGTATGGTAACTTCCCTGTTTTCCTTCAAGTTTCATGATGAAGAAAAGTTGCTCATTTTTTTCTGGGTGAATCATAGCTCTGAGTTTTTATCACTTTCATGTCTGGAGGTGGTGGGAGGAGGAAAGCCCTTGGGTAAATAACAGGAAGGCATTTCATTTCACTTCCATCTCAGCATGTTTTGTACCTCCCCATTCCTTCAGCACTTGTGCAAAGAAAATCATTTGAGACATTACTATATGCCACTGAGGGTTGTGCTCATTAAAGTACAATACCAGCTCTGGAAATTCAAAACAAAATTATTTCCTTCCCACGAACCTGACTATCATCACATGCCTTGGCAGCTGTCAGTCAGTCTTTTGTAATGCACTGGAAATAAGTAATCTTTTCTGAATTAGGGTTCTTGTCAGAATTAGTACATATTCTAGTTTCTTGATTCCACCTCAGCTTTTGCTTCATAAAGGCATGCGTGCTTGTAGGAGCCAGGCTTTCATGTGCACCTACTACTTTGGGGATGTGTTCATCTAATCCTGTTGCTTTGTGTCTCTTGATGCATTGCACTTCTTTCATCCTGATTTAATGACTCTTGGGAAATGGGGATGAATCTGCCCCACATGGTATGAAGATTTGTTGTCCTTAGAAGCACCTCCTTACATGAGCCTTTGGGTGTGCAGATGGTGAATTAGTGATGTGCCACTTGAAACACAGCACGCAGTTGAACAGGATGGTGGCTTTCCATGGGCATGTCTTGTTGGTGAGGTTGCTTTTAGGGGCAGCTTTTATTTGGTGCATACACAGGGAAGGGCAGGATCTGGTAAAGGATTTCTGCAGGATTTCATCCTGGCTATGCACTGGACCTTCACAGCTGGTGCTAAGCAATGCTTGGGGCAGAGCAAGCATCTGCGGAGTTCTGATGATGGCGTTTTAAATGTTGAATGTCCATTACACTTTCAGGCTCAGGATATGTTGCAGACACTTTCTCTGTCAGCAAAAATACTGAAATATTTATTGTAATGGAGTGGAAAAGCATTCTCATAAACATCTGGTTCTCCTGGTCCTACAGAGTTATTTTACATACTTTTTTTGACTGGGATAGGGTATTAGTTCTTTGTTGTCCCCTAGCCTGTCTGCTTGAAGCCCACCTCCTGTCTTACCTCCTGGTCTTGTAAATCTCTGGGACAAGGGCCACCATTCCTGGGTCTTGCCCTCAGTAGCCACAATGCTGCCATGAAGAGAGTAAGGAAATGAGGAGTGTAGGTTTGTGTTCCTGAGCTAGCACAGTGCTATGGTTAAGGTCTTAATGCCCTGGGAGAGGCTGACCTTCAAAAATCAGGTTGGAAATAAAAGAGCTGGTGGTGTGAGGTGAGTCTGAAAGGAGAGGAAAGAGAAGCAGGTGTTCAGCTGGGTGTGGCAATGGCAATGTGGCAGGCCCATATCCAGAAAACCTTCTGCTAGGGTCTTGTGCTGCCCTGAGGATTGCAGTTCTTCTCTTATGTCAGCCTGAATTGCATGAAGCAGAACACCCTATGGAAAAAGAAGAGGGATTTTGAAGGTGGTTGGATGCATTTGTACCAGGCAGTGATGGTAGCTCCAGTTGATTGCCTGATCAGGCACTGCCCTTCTCACCTCCAAGCTCATTCCTATGACTGGAAACCTGACACCACTGTCTCTTCCCAAGGAATTGCCTGGTTCTGAGAGAGCACCATAAGGCAACATAAATGCCTTCCATGACTGGAGCTTGGGCATGCGCCACAGGTCCTTCAGTGTACCCAAGGTTCCTCAGGAATCTGGAGGAGTGCTACTGTGGGTTTTGTAGTGCAGCTGCAAGGCATTTCACAGGTGGGATGAAAGAAAGGAAGGAAAATATTCAGAAAAGGATACTCTTCTTTCTTATGAAGCTTTTTCTTTTAAGGGAAGTAGTCAGCAATGGAAAGAAAAAGAGCTTTTTTTCTTTTCTGTTTTCCATTGAAATTTAATGGGGGCTTTATGACAAGAAGAAGGGAAGAAGCATCTGTGAGATTAAGTGAACAAAGACCTCTCTCCTGTGAAGACAGGTTGAGTTGTTCAACCTGAAGAAGAGAAAGCTCTGACGAGACCTCAGTGTGGTCTTCCAGTACTTAAAGGGGGTCTATAAAAACAAGGGAGAATGACTTTTTACACAAGCAGATAGTGATAGGACAAGAGGCTACAGTTTTAAACTAAAAAAGGGCAGGTTTACATGTAGATTACATGTAAGGAAGAAATTCTTTACTGTGAGGGTGGTGAGGCACTGGCACAGGTTGTCCAGAGAAACTGTGGATGCCCCATCCCTGGAAATGTTCAAGGTTCAGGCTGGATGGGATTAGGAGCAGTCTGATATAGTCTGACTATAAAAGTATCTGACTATAAAAGTCTGACTATAAAAGTATCCCTGTGCTTGGCAAGGGTGTTGGAACTAGATGATCTGTAAGGTCCCTTTCAACCAAACTGTTCTGTGATTCTCTGGTTCTATGATTTTAACTGAGTAGTTGTCTTTGATGGATGCAGGTACTCAGCTCATCCATCAGATTGGAGATGCCCTCTCTGTGCCAGCTCAGGAAGAGGAAGTGATTGCCTGGGGTGTCTGCTCAGATGGCTGATTATCTGCAGCAGCAAACCATGGAGAAAATGTGTTTGCCACCAGCAGCACCCAGCTGACCTTGCACATGTTTTCCTCCCTGCAGATGTGCCGGCGTGTGTACAAAGGGATTCCGCTTCAGGTGCGAGGCCAGGTCTGGTCACTTCTGCTGGATGTCGAGAAGATGAAGAAGGAGAATGAAGGAAAATATGAGGTATGGGCTCTACCCGGCAAAGACAGCAGGAAAAGGATGATAGGGAGGTTAGCCTGGTTGATGAAGCTGGTTTGGTGAGGACTGAAAATGCAAAGGGTATCAACTCCTTGTCCATGGGTTTATATTAAGCTGGGGTCTTTTAGCATGTTAGTTGGCTGCTTTCTATAATATGCTGCTTCCATTTATTCTGCTGGAAGTTGGGAGCAAAGCTGCTGTCAGTGTTACTGCTTTTTTAGAGAAAGATGCAGGGAAGAGTGAGGGGAAGCTTTCCCTAGGCAGCATGTGGAAGCCCTTGGTGGATAATTAACTTATTTTCCAAGCCTGTGTTGTGTTTTATTTTGCATCATGTACCAGGGTGAGGATCGGGGTGTTATGGAGACAATTATTTTTCAGAGGCAGGAGGTTGAGTGCTGCTTCCAACAGGTGTTTCTAAAAATCCCTGCCTATTAAACAGGATGATGCTAACACTCATTATAGTTAGTCAAGTGTGGATGTTACTGGCGAGGTGCCGCGGGGATGGAGGCACACGCAGGGGCTGGGGGACAGCAGGCTGGGCTCACCACAGTAAGCACAGATAAGGAAGCTCTCCCAGCACGCAGATTAAAATTGTGCTCCCTCCTCAAAGCTGTGCTGTGCAGGCAGGGAAGCAATCCAAACAAATGAAAGTTGCGAGGAGTTTATCTGTGCTCCAGAGGGGTCTGCAATAAACAGGAGCTTCAGGCTAATAGGCTTTGCTGGATGCAAACCCTCTGCATCCAGCAAGGGTCTTGCAAACAAGATCATCTTAATCTACCTCTTCTTGGGTGCTGCCTGCCACCAGTAATTAGCTCTCCCCTAATTTCCACCAGGAGAGGCTCAGTGCAGGTCCTGGATGAGGGGTTTTGCTTTCAAGAAGGGCCTAAGCCTCAGACCTGTGTTCTGAAGGAGCTGGTTCCAAGGCCACCCCATTTCTCCCTGGGGTATAACCCATGGCACAAAAGCCTGAAGGCCACCATGGGACATTCTGTGCTTGCTTTTCACGTAGGTGTGATGCTCTGCCTCCCTGGGGTTTATTAGCTGCAGCCAGAGGGCTTGATGGGAGCTTGAGAAGGCAGCAGGAGAAACATATTGGCTATGGGGCAGAGCAGAGGCATCCTGGCTTTTACCCACTGCTTTGTTCAAGGTCTTTGGGATGGGACTTCCAGCTTTCCAGCCTCTGCTCTGCCGCCAGCTTGCAGGACTCACAGCGCTAATGAGCTCAACAGAGCATCTGTGGAGCCCTCAGGTTATTTACATTAGGGAAAAAAGGAGAATAACCCATCCTGTGTTTCTTTTTTAATGTCTGCACAATTAGTAAAGCCTCCTGGGTGCATGGAGTTGACAAAGTCCTGTGTGACCTACCTGCTATTCTTGTGCAATGATTTAAAAATACCCAAAGTAGGGTATTTACTTTGGGAAATTTCTGTGTTGTTCTGGCAGGGAAAACAAGAGGGCCTTTAGCAGGAAAATTTGAACTGAAGTGACCCAGTGCACATGAATAGTCATATTCTCTCAGGTAGTCTGTCTGCTTTATAGAGGCAAGGAGCCATAGGATACAGAGACCACACTATTTACAGCAGGGAAATTATGTTGTTCATCAGATCTTCATTCCATCACCACTTTTATCCTCACTTTTCCTGTGTAGGCAATAATTCAAAATAGCCCCTTTACTATTGCTCCTCCATACCGCTGCTTTCAAGGGTGGAGTTAATATTCCCAAGATGCTGTCATCATCCAAAGTGTTGGCTGTGTCGGACACATGTGGGTGCTGATGACCTTCTGATGTTCCCCAGAGCTGATGTGGCCACCTTGGGAGGTCAACAGCAGCCTGGAGGAACCTGGTATCAGGCTGATATGCATTCACAGGATGGCAGCTGCTGGAGCAGATGATAAGTGCAGATGTTCTATTTTCTGTTTCCTCTGTGAGCCAGGAGGGGTCCTGACCCTGGGCTCAAGGCAAGTTGGGCTTGCTGCTCATCTCTGCTGCCTCCAACCTGCTGGTGAATCTCAGTGTGCCTGAAGACAGTCACAAAATGTATTTTCCTGCAGTTAACCCTGGAGACATTGAAGGAGGAGGGCATGATGACTGGTGTAATCTAAAGGCTGTGAGATGAGATGCTTAGCTATAGCATAGTGGTCCTTTCCTGCAGTACAGAGCTGAACAGTGGGTTGCAGATGGGACCACAGTGAGATCTGTCCACGGAGCATCTTCATCTTGGGGCTCTGAGGGCACAATTGGTTGAGGCGGTCTTAAACTTTCATTTGACTTTCCATTTTTTTGCAGTGGACTTCAGTCTTTTTTCTGTGTGATGCTGCCTTAAATGATTAGGCAGCCTGGGTGGAACATGGGGATTCTTGGCTTTGAGTTTAGGTTCTGCTCTGGACTCTGCCAGTTTCTTAAAATATGAACTAGTCTGAGGCAATATTCCAGGACAGCTTTTGTGGTGGAAACTCCTTAAACTGAAGAAGACTCTCTTCTTCAGGGAAAGTAGTAGTTGGAGATCACAGTCTGTCATAACAGTTTGGACTTTATTATGACTGAGCTTCTGAAAAGCTGAGAGTGCTGCATACATCTGTGTATTCATTCCTTTAAGGATCAACAGAGCTCTTAATGCTTTATGACAGCCAGCCAGGCAAAGAAATCAAAATAAATGAGAGTGGAATTGAATTGTAAAGGTTTTAGATTCTGAAAACTCAGTATCTGCATTGGAAGATGGGTGAAGGCTGGGTTGGCAGCTGCTGCTGTCTTAGCATGTGAGTGTGGGGTCATCCCCTTCTCCTTAGGCCAGCAGCACAGACAAAGGGTCAGGGGCTCACGTCCAGGCTGCAGTTCATTGCTCACTGCAGGACATCAATGTCCCCTGCTCTGGATAGCTCTGTAACTCTCAAGCTGCCACTCTTGCTGCAGGAATCCCGCCTTCTCCTTCTCTGGAGAGAGGTACAGGCTGAGATGGTGTCTGATTCCTGCCTCTTGTCTGCCCCTCTCCCTTCCAGCAAATGAAAGAACAAGCAAAGAGTTTTTCATCGGAAATCAAGCAGATAGATTTGGATGTGAACCGCACCTTCCGAAACCACATCATGTTTCGGGATCGCTACGGGGTGAAGTGAGTATGGAAAGCTTCTGTGGCTTTTATGGGTAGTCCTGCCAGTGCATTTGTGAGGAATGAGTTGGATCAGCAGCCAGCCAGTACCCTGGCTCAAAGCCAAGCCATCTTTGCCTTCTCCTCAAACCATCACCACACAGTGTGACCCACAGGTGCTGAGCTGCTGGTTCTTTTTCAGAGGGGTCCACACTGGAGCAGGCTCAGCCCCAGTTCTTGAGCCAAGCAACAGCCTGTTGCAGTGCCTTGTCCCCCAGGACTCACAGTTGCAGAAGGCTTGATTTGGAATGGCTGGGATGATGAGGTGGGCCCATCAGGATCTGGGAGGGATGGGGTCTTCACAATAGATTGGGTTGGAGAGGTTTGACAAAGTGACTTTGTTGCTGGGGTAAGGCACACCTGGCTGCCCTACCCAGTCTCCAAGGAACAAGCTTTCTGGTTCTGTGAGCCCTGCTCCTTGCAAAAATGTTAAGTACCAGCTGCTTGGGTGTTTTCAGAATCTGCTCTCTGTGTGTATGCACTGGTGTGCTCATGAAGCTGGAGACCTCATGCTCAGGTGTTTTAATATCCTTCTTTCTCCCCAGGCAACAGGCGCTCTTCCACGTCCTGTCAGCATACTCAGTTTATAACACTGTAAGTAGTAAGTCCAGTTAACATGAAGAGCATTGTGCTTAATATATTTTTATATATATGTAAAAATTTAAAGAAAAGCTTTATATGTGTGTATTTGTGCAGACATACATATTTTCATGTGTATATATATGTAATAAACACACACTTATTTAGCCAGTAGTAATTCCAATTTTAAGTCCTAATAGTGGGTTGTACAGAGAGCTGCAAGACTCTCAGGCAGCACAAGAATCTTTCCACAGTTGTTTCATTCCCTTGTTCATTTTGTCACCTGGTAAATGACATCTGAGAGATTTAGACTGTCAGCAAAGAACAAGGGATTGCCCTTTGGCTTTTCAGCAACACTAGTTTTCTGGCAGTCTGTCATGTTTCTGTCTTACACCAAATGGTATCCTTGTTGAAAATACTTATTTACTAAAGCAAACCAGTAATTTTTAGCTGAAGGAGACAGACAGAATAAGCTGAAATTAGCAGCTGAACCTACTCTCTCCACCTCCAGGAGGGGACAGTTAGAAGATGCTCAGGGGGTTAGTTAAGGAGCCTCCCTCATGCCAGATAAATGTTTACCAGATTTATTTACTGTTTAATTACTTCAGTGCTCATATGGCTGAAGGAATGCAAAACAGCATTTGAGCCACATGCTGTTTGTCATCCCAAAGATAGATTTGCCATAAGGAAAACATTTTTTACAATGGTGAGGCATGGAAATAATTGCTCAGAGAAGTTGTGGGTGCCCTATCCTGGAAGTGTTCAAAGTCTGTTTGGATGAGGCTTTGAGCAACCTGGTCTAGTGGAAGCTGTCCCTGAGGAGGGTTGGATGAGATAATCTTCAAAGGTCCTTTTCCAACCCAAACTATTCCCTGAGTCAGTGACATGGTAGATGCTGTAAACATATGGGAGCTGTGAATTTGGACATAAACGGTAAAAACTTTGAAATGTGCAATACAACAGGGACAGACCTTAGAAAAGGAGAGGGAAGTACAGGCAGCTTTAGCATTATGGTAGGTTCTGCCAGCATGGCAGCACGTGTGCCCCTCTTGACTATTGCAGGAAGTGAGCTACTGCCAAGGGATGAGCCAGATTGCAGCCATCCTCCTGATGTACTTGAATGAAGAGGACGCGTTCTGGGCGCTGGCACAGCTGCTCACCAACCAGCGCCACGCCATGCACGGTAAGGCTGGGCTGGGGCAGGGGGTGTCTGCCACAGGGAGGGAAGATTGTTCAGGTTGGTCAGTAGAGCTTTGTTTCTCCTCACATATTTGTTTAATTAAAGTGGGTGAGGCTTAACTACTTGCGCAGCCTGACTGGGGAGCTGAACTTCACTCTTGGAGGCAGACAAGCTCTTATCAAAAAAAAGAGTTTTATCCACCTGAGCTTTAGAGCTCAGTAATTAACACTTTTACAGAAGCGCTGTCCTGCCTCCAGGGTTCCTTGCCCTTGGCAATCAATTAACTCAAGGTTATGAGTTTATAAGAAGTCTCATAGAAGTACATCCAAGAGTATCCACAATAAATGTAGATGTAATTCCACTAAATGTGTGCTGTATTATTTTACTTCAAACACATTAAACATCCTTTCATCTTACTTGTGGTTAGCAGTAATCTATGCACAGAGGGTTATTTCATGGGCAGAGAGCTAAACCTTATGGCTTGATAACTTTGGACAGTCTTAAATATACATTACAGGGCACTGAACAAGCTTGTGGTGTTCAAACATCTTCAGCTTTTCTCTGAACCTTGCTAAGCACTGAGGTGTATTCAGAGAGCTCTTGGCCAAGCCAAGTTGCAGGCAGGCAGTGGGAGCTGGGTGAGAAGGACCAGCTGGGCTTGGTGTGAGGGTCCTGTTACCCACATGGGGTGAGAGGTGACCTCTAGAAAGGAAGGTGAAAAGGAGGTAGCTGGGCACCCTGTTGTTCAGCCAACTTCAACAGGCAATGCAAGAGATGAGTTTATAAATAATCAGTCTATCCCTGTCACTGCTGCAGAGCTTACCTGATTTTTGCTTCTCTTGTCTTTTCTTTTTAAGGTTTTTTCATTCCTGGGTTCCCGAAGCTGCAGAGGTTTCAAGCCCACCATGAGCAAATTTTAAACAAACTGTTCCCCAAACTGAAGAAGCACATGGTATCTCTTTACTGTCAGTCTTCCTGTAATAATGCCACATTTTAATGATAAAGCAGTTCATATAGTGTTCTGCCAAACAGATGAACAGCTAATGTATTTCTAACCATATAGGACTGCTTCAGCTGCAGAGGCAGGCATTTATTAAATGGGTTGCCCAAATCTTGCTGAGGTGAATGGTAATCATTTGCTTGCTGATCATCATTAGTGGAGGGACTGCTAAAATGTAAAGGCTTCCCAGGAGAGCCAGGAAGGCTCGCAGAGCGTGCAGCAGGAGGAGCAGCAGTGAGGATGGGCTGTGTGCTTACACCAGCTGCAAGGCCCAAAGGCTGATGCTGGTCTGTCTGGAGTCTTATTGCAGACTAATTATTTGCTCCAAATGCTTTGCTGTTGTTTTAAGTCAGAGGCACATAAGATTTGCTGGGTGTTTTGTTGCTTCGGCATGTCCAGTTGCTTTTTTCTCTAGCAAATGGTACAGGCACATTTGGTGGCTGCAGGAGCATCTGCAGGGCACACCAACTCCAGTCTTATGTCCAGGCCACTGTTTTGCAGCACCTGCTCTCTCCCTTCTTTTCTGTTGCCTTGGCCCCCTTTGCATTTGGTGTAGACAGATGGTGTTCAGTGGCCAGACTCCTAAAGTTTTCTTATGCTCCCAAGAAGCTTTGTAGCCCCCATCTCCAGCAAAAGATGTTTGTATGACCATCATCTGCAACAGCAACATGCTGCAAAAATGGCTGTAAAAGTAAAACAGAGCCATGTTAGGTTTTCACTTAATTATAGTCATGGGAGAGGAGGGGATGGTAATAACTTAGAAAGCTGCTTGTTCCTCCTGCTCCTCTGAAGGCTCTCCAGGCTTGCAGGTGCACAGCACCAGCCAGAAGCAAAGGCTGGAGCTGGCCATTCATCCTATGGGCTTCTTTCTCTTCCCATGCCCATTTCTTTGTTGGCTTTGCAGCAGAGGTCATGTCAGCTCTGCACACATCCCAGCACTGGGCACCAGATGGAGAAGCGTTAGACTGAGGTGGTGATGATGAGGTTTTGAGGGTTTTCCTTATCCTGTCAGGCTGTCCTGCTCCTGCAGCAGCCATGCCATGTAAATGAGGTGGTGCTTCCAAAGCTGCCTTGACTGTGCTTACATGGGAATTGCTATGGAAACAAAAATGGTAGTCTGCAAGGAGAGAATGGTTTGAGTTCTTGAAAAGTTTTTATAAATCCATGGAGTAGGTATTAGGCCAAAAAAGCTCCCAGAAATTCCTTTCCAATGCTATGGCTGAAGTCTGGCCACATCGAGGACCAGGTTCAATGGATGTCTTGGGCAAAGGGCCAAAGCAGGGCTTCAACACCTGTGTGTAAAGCCAAGGGGGCTTTCTTGGGAGATGGGAGATGAATCACAGCCATATCCTGCACCCAGATCCCAGAATAAGTAAACCAATCAACCAGCCTCCCCCAAAGCCTTATGAGCTGCCTGAACCTCCAGTAACCAGCCTGGTGAAATGCCTGTCTCTCTTTGCTGTCTTCCCCCAGGACAAGGAGCAGATGACCACCGGAATTTACACAACCAAGTGGTTCCTGCAGTGTTTCATTGACCGGGTGAGGATGCTCTGGGGGTTTTTTGCTGCTCTCCTGTTTGCATGCATGGTTAATCTGCCTGTGTTTTTTTTGTAAATATCATACTTTGAAGAAGATGTTAATATTTTATAAGGTGTGATATTATGCACACTGTCATAAGGCAAAAAAAATTAATAAGGGAGATGGTAAAAATAACTGCATGTCACTGATGACAAGCCAATTCCTGCTGCCTTATCACAAGCAGTTGCAGGGAGATGGCTCAGCATCAGCAGTATAAACTCCAGAATCAGGAGAGATCTTTCTCTTGCCCACTGGCACTGCTGCAAAGGCAATTAACCACATTTGGCTCTGGAGACAACATAGAAGGAAGAAGAGCTGGGGGCACAAACTTCAACAAACAACAGTGCAGCAGCTGCAGGCAAAGGAGCCGACTGGGACTGGAAAGGTGGAAGTGAGAGAAAATTACTCTGATTTGTCCAGAGCTAATTTGCTAGTTCTGAGCCAAGACTACTTTATTTTTAGGGTCAGCATTGTGCTTACTGGACTTGAATGCAATGTCCAGACTTGCTAATATTTAGGACATCTGTGTGCTCCAGTCTCAATTTTCTGCTGCCCTGTCTTCTATAAAACAGTGGATGGCCCCTTCCCCTAGAGAGGGAACTCACTCCTTTTGCCACTAAAAGCTGTATAAAATGCACAATCCCTTTAACTGCAGTAGTGTGTGGTAAAAGAGCTGCAATGGTCAGTTGTGCCAAACTCTGGAGAGTCAGTGCAGTATCCTAAATTTGAACCTAAACATCTCAGTAGGATTAATATTAATTTCTATATTGGTGAGGTGCCTCAATCTTTGGTGGGAGGTATGGGCTGCTCCCTCACTTTGGGTATCAGTTCAATCCTGTTTGTCAGATTGGGTTTGGGTGCAAATGAAAACCTTTTGTAGAGGTGTTTTTAGCAGGCAGAAATAAGTCTGTATATAAGAAAAAAATCTTCTTTGGACACCAGATAAACGATTTTTTTTAATGCTTAGTGATGCATCCTTGGGCTTTCAGACCTATCCCATAAATAGCCCTCCTGGGAAATCTGGATGGATACAGAAGCTGGGTTTTGTGCTCACAAGGCTGAAAGATTATGGTACTCTCTCCAGAGTAGGGGAATCCACATGCTAGCATGCTTGTGAGGGAAATTTCTCTTTTTTCTGCATCCATGGATGGGTTTTAAATATTTCCCCGGCCACCCAAGTTCATTAGCTTTAAGGCAAAGCCATAGATGATAAAAGACATTTTTGTGTTTTAGATGAATTCCTGACTTGCAAAGCCTAGCTCTGTTGTGTGATTTGGTGCAAGGTGATGCAGTGATGGCAGCAGTCTCTGTTGCATCATCCCATCTGTGATTTGTCTGTGTGTTTGAAACAGACCCCATTCACGCTGACCTTGCGGCTGTGGGATATCTACATCCTGGAAGGGGAGCGGGTGCTGACAGCCATGGCTTACACCATCCTCAAACTGCACAAAAGTAAGGTCCCACCTGATTGCATCCCCTACAGCTCTGGTGGCACTGTGCTGGGCCACCCTTGTGCTGCTGACCTGAAAAGCCTTGCTGGCCACTTACAGCCTTTTGGTGCCCTGTGCTGGCCACAAAAGGCACAGTCCAGGGGAGGAAATGAGAAATGAGATGCCACAAGGGTTGACTTGCTGTGCTCAGCACACGGAAACCACACCTGAAATGCTCCCAGCTGCCTCTTCCTATGTACTACTCCCCACAAATTGCTTTTAGGGGCAATACAGGCAGCAGCCCATCTGTCTGCAGAACTTTATATGGTGGCTCAACTGAAAAGTCTGTAAAGGGACAAATAAATCCAGTAATACACTTCTAAAATGATCCAAACCTGGTTGTCTTGCATAACACTAAGGCAGTGATGTTTCTGCCTCAAGATCTTTGAACCCCTTCACTCCCATAAATTGATAACCTTGCTGTGTCACTCTTTTGGCCTTCATCTGGGGCAGGAGTGTGTGATAAGAACCTTTGGGCAGCAGAATTTATGGGACTGCATGTGTTGGCTTCTGCAAACAGCCACCCTCTTCTTCCCTCAATTAAACGAAGAACGGGCTATCCATAAATAAATCTTGAAGTATCCTATTTGTCTGCAGAAAATGGGAAACTGGCAGGCAGGCAGATGTTTCAGTTTGGCTGTAAAATCTCGCCTCCCTGAGGAACGTGTAGTGCGGGTTGACATCTCTTCCTACATCCCATTTCTGCCTTTTCCCATCCCTGTCTGCAACCTTTGTAAGGGCCAGCACCTCTTCCTGCATCCCTGTCTGCTGGTGCAGGTTGGCATCCCTGGCTGGTGGTGGCAGCTGCTGGCAGCTGCTGTTCAGCCTGACGCTTAGGGCCTGTCTCATGGAGCTTTTCCTCCTCCTAGAGGCATTGGTGAGAACTTCCAGAAATGGCCTAAACCCTGCATCCTCATCAGCACAGCTCCCAGCCCTGCCATTGTCCTGCCACTGAGAAGCTACTGCTCAGGTGGCATGGATATATACATGGATTGATGACCCTGAGCAATATTGGGGAGGTGGGAGAGAGGCAAAAGCCTTCAGGCTGTCCCACTGTGGAGTGGGAACAGCAACAGAATCCCAGATAAAACCAAAGTGTGGTGTAACTTACACTTGTACTACCCTGAAATTTATCTGTGCCACTGCTATTACTCCTTTCTCCCATCCCCCAGAGCGCTTGCTGAAGATGGCACTGGAAGATTTACGTGAATTTCTGCAGGAGAAAATTGCTGCTTCCCTGCAGTACGAGGACGATGCTGTCATCGAGCAGCTGCAGGTGTCAATGACTGAACTGCGCAAGATGAAGTTTGACCTGCCCCCACCAGGTGGGTAGAGGGCAAGGTGGGCAGCCCAGCAGGGACCAGAGCATCCTGCTGGTGTGGCTGGGAGCCAGGGTAGCCCAGAGAGGCTGGCACCCGTTGTGTGGAAGCACTGTCTTCCTTACATTCAGAGCATGCAAACACAAACTCATGCACAGTTTGGGTTTTATTTTGTTTTCTCTACTTCCAATGCAGCAAAGCCTGAGGAGTTTCCAAGGAAACCCCTGGGCCTGGAGCTCTCCCTCAACCCAGTAGCCATAAAGGAAAACACAGCAGCCAATGGCCAGAATGGCCAGGTGGGTGAGCACACCCCAGACAGGGAGCCCCATCGCCACAAAGTTCCTGGCACACCAGGAGGAGTGACAGTGGTGGAAGCGAGGATTCTCACCTTCCAGGGTAGTGAAGCAGCCGAAGCAACAAACGTGCCCGTTCCAGGTGGGCAGCCACCAGATGAGGAGGGTCAGGTGGAGCCCATCATGGACGGGCAGCCATCATCTCTTCTGAAGGCAAGCGAGACGCAGGCCCAGCAACACCTCCTGCCCACAGTCCTGCCTCCAGAGCAGCCTCTTCTTGCTCCTGGCTGTGCCGTGGTGGACCATGGAGTCTCCCTCCATGCCCCAGCTGAGCACAGCTCCTTAGACTCCTCTCTCCAAAACAGGCCGGCTCCTCCTGACTCCAGCACCGCTGAGCTTTCCTCTACGGACCAGGCAGTGTGGCAGCCAAATCCCGCTGCCCTGCCAGCAGGGGAACAGGCATCTTCCCTGAGCAGAGACGCAGTGCTTGAAGCAGCCCCCCATCCTCTGCCAGCCGGCTGCCAGCAGCTCTCCTGCACTTCACAGAGCGATGGCTCCCCCGAGAGCGAGCGCGGGGAGGAGGCGGCGGATGACAGGCACTGCAGGGCGGTGCTGCCGGACAAAATGGGCCTGAAGCACTCGGCATCCAAAGCCGCATCCACAGGAGAGCTCCTCAGCCTGCAGCACAATGGGCTGGGCAGTGCCACCAGCAGCACGCACTGGCCCGAGGCCGTGGGCGTGCTGCCCGCGCACAGGCAGGCAGGGGGCAGTGTGCCCATCTTGTCCAGCAGAGAGCCGGAGGCAGCAGGGATGGCCGAGGGCTGCCCCACCCAGCGGGCACCGTCCCCTCTGGTGGAAGGGAACAGCCCCTATGTCGTTATCAAAACCACCACTCCACTCCACCTGGCCCACGCGACAGAGCAGGACTTCTTGAACAGAAAGCAGGTGGCATTGCCTCTGTCAGAGACTGGACATCCTCTGCCTACCACCTCCATGCCACCACCTCTCATGGCGGACCCAGAGGAGGCAGAGGTCCAGAAAAGCCTCCAGAAACCATTAAATGCACTGAAAGCCCCACGACCCCCGCTGAGCCCCAAACCAAAATTACCGCCGCAGGTTGCCAAATCCCGCTCAGAGAACAGTTTCCTTTCAGGCTCTCCTTCCATGGCAAAGCTGCCCAAATCGGTGACGTTCTAGTGGGGATGGGGAAGGGGAAGTTAAGGGAGAAGAAGTGGGTTCTGGAGAAGCACCCTTGCCCCATTTGCAGGATCCCCTTCTGTCAGCAGGGCTGTTAGGGTGACAGCACAGCACCATTGCACATCAAGCTGTGCTTTGGTACGAGCGCCCAGCGAAGAGACGAAGCGGTGCCCACCAGCGCTAGGAGACACCAGCAGATTGGATTTGCATGTTTCCTGTGGACAAATTGGAAAATGCTTTCATTTTTTGTTCCTCAAAGCTCCCCAAGTCTCATCACTTGGGGGAAGAGGCAGGGCTGGTGGGTTTGTTGCGTGTTTTCTCCTGCTCCTGTCTGCTGTGGGAACCCACGACCAAGCAAGCAGGCACAAGGTGTCAGAATCCGAAACGCTTTCTTTACAACGCCCCATCGGCACAGCTACAGCATTGCTTTCAAAGGCCTTTGTAGCAATAGATCTTTATTTCGTTTCCCAGACCTGCAGTTGTAGGCAGCAGAATTTCCAGGCACTGCCATGGCATCCTGGCAGGACACAGGCAGCCCGCTGCCCCCTCTATGCAATTCCACAAAGCAGTGCCCGGCTGTGTCTGGCTTCTGCTGCTGTGGTGGATGGTGTTTAGGAGGACAGATTTAACAGCTGCTGAGTCCCTTGGACATCTCCTTGGTCACCCCAGTGTGGAGCTGCCAGCAGAGTGGTTCTTTCCCAGGTTCTCAGGGTGACAAGGACAGTGACAAAGGTGGAGCCTGGTCTCTTGGGCTGAGTGCCCTTTCTGCTGGCCTTTCCTTCCCAGGGCCAGTGCAGCGAGCAGGCTCGCTGCCTTTCTGTTCCCCAAACAGGAAAAGGGGCTGCTGGCTCGGGAAACCTGCCTGCACTACCAAGCTGCTGGACATGTGATGGCATCCAATCACAGTGCCCCAGATAAGTCCACTTTTGCTTTGAGTAAGTTAAGTGTCAGAGTGGAAAGGGAATGGGAACTGGGGAAGGGGGAGCACATTGCCCAGAACCTGCTCTCAGCCCTTCTGGTTGAGTCCACAGAGAATTAATGACAGGAAGGAAACTTGGACATGATGGGTGCCCACATGCCCACTTGCCCTTCATACACCAAGTCCTAGAGGTCTGTCCATCTCCTCCCCATCCCAAGGTGCAGCTGCTGCACAGCCCAGGCCATTGGCTGGAGATGTGCAGGGATCTGGGGAAACACCCCATATAAAGAGCTGGTCCAAAATTCTGGTTCCAGCATTTACTTCACCCTTAGAAGTGAAGGGACTTTATCAGGAAGGCAGATCAGTGAAAAAGCAGGACGTAGGCCAGATATGCTGAATTTTACTTTGCTGTCCAGAAGGGGTAGCTGCAAGTGCCATCTTAGGTGGGACTGCAAGTGGGATTCCCATTCCTTCAACAGTGATCCTGGGTAAAAGCTCCTTTAAGTTCTAAGGAGACCTTGAAAACTAATTTTTTAATCTCACAGGCTGCTTCAGTTGCATAACCTGATCTAAAGCCTACCTGAAAGCCCAGCAGAAAACTTCCACTAAATTACTTTGTGGGTTTTAGGAGCTGGACTTGATGATCCTGGTGGATCTCTTCCAGCTCAGCATATTCTATGGTTTTACGATTTATCAGGGTTTATTTTGCCTTGTGTACGTGTGGTGGTTTATGTTTGCAGCAGGGAGTATCAAAGGGAGCACTGGATTTTTGTTTGGATGTAGCCAGCCAGACCACAGCACCCTCAGCTTTCATTGGAACCCCAGCTCTGGCCCAGGCCCCATCTTCCACTGAGCCTCCAACCTTGCCCATCCTCTCCCTCTGCAGAGCAGGGATAACTCTTATTAGCTACCTCGCAGGGGTGTTGTGAGGAGTCAAGCATTGCTGTTTGAGGAAAAGTGCTCTTTGAATGTTCAGTATTTGTGTTTTAAGACACCACAGGTCCTTTCTAGGACAATGGCGTGTGAATTGTTTTTAATTTAGAGTATGTTTTTCCATAACTGTGCGTAGTTAAATGTTATTTGTGTGTTAAAATACCTGAGCAGTATTTCAGGACAGATATCCATTGCCTTTTGCTAGCAGCCCACTGGCCACAGGAGCTCACTGGGAAGCAACAAGAAGCATCTGAGAGCTGTTGGTCACATCTTGACTTGGCTTCTGTAGCTTGGGGCTCTGTCCTCTCCTTGAAGCCCACCTAGGACTCTTTCTAATGCATCTGAGCATCATGCTTGCAAGACCTGAGACCTCTCTCCCCTTGTTTTAACCCATTTTCCCTCATTTCAGGCACACAGCCTTTGCACATCATGTTGCTTGTGCGCCCAGACTCCTCACACAGTATGTCTGGGATGTTTTGCAGTATTAACATTTAAAACTGAGGTTTGCTCTAACTTTGGAGAGCTGTCAGATGCACAGTACTCACTGCATGGCATTTGGTGCATGATGTTCAACATGAATTTTGATGGGGAAGGGGTAGGAGTTGTCTTTCTCTCCAAGCCCTAATGGGAATGAGCAGCAAGGTCCTCAGTCATCTTCAGGCCTGAGGGAACCACCAGCAACATGCATTTCTGTCCTTGGTGTGATGCTGGAACATATCAATGCATGATCCCCAAGAAGATGCCCGCTCCTGTCTCCTCCTCCACCTCTTGCTGCAGACAAAGCTGCAGCCATGGTGGGTCTGTGGCAGCAAGGCCTGGCCCAGCCTCAGCTCTTTTGCTGGGAATAGGAAGGGAAGGAGAAGGATGAGGGTGGCAGCTCAGCAGGACAAATTACATAACCAAGCCACTTGCAGCCCTGCTCAGCCCCCTGCAACAGTCTCGACCCCTCAGAAAAACCACTCTTACTGTGAGCAAACATAGGAAAGCAGCTCCCCCCATCCTTGCCCTTGCAGCCCTGACACAATGCTGGCCTTGCTGCCTTCCATGTAGAGGTAAAGACCAATGCTGTGGGTTGGGGTTTTTTAGGTTTAGTTTGTTTTTCTTTGTGTTGTTTGTTTGTGATAGAGCACTTTGAGTGGCTGCAGCACTGGCAGACAGCAGGAGCGACGAGATCCAGCTCCAGCAGGGGCCAGAGGCTGAGGTTAGGGTTTCTTGGCCATGCACTTTGAGAGCCTGGCTACCGTCTGCTTTCCTTTTTATTTGCTATTCTTGTTTACAGCGTGGAACGCTTCTTCCATGACTCTTTCTAATGTATTATAAGTATTACTTTTAAGAAAAAAACATTTTTATGTCTGCCTTTTTGTTTGTTCAGTTTGGTTTTTTTAAAGGAATGGGTTTTTGGAAAAAAAAATCAATCATTCTTTTTTATGCTGATCCAAACTGTCCAGAGTGTTTGATGCTGTGTTTTACCTGGTTGTAGTAATAATGGTTAAAGAAATTTAGCATAAATTCAGACTCCACAAGTTTTCTTACAGGAACAGAAGCTGCACCAAGACACGTTGCCTTCTCCTGGTGACTTTTAGCTTGGTTCACTGTGTATGCTTCAGCTGCAACAGGTCCCTCCTGCTCCATCTCTGCTTTCCTCCCTGATTTTCTGTTGTAATTAAATCCAGGCATCCCTGGCAGCAGTGGAAAGCAAAATGCTCTTTTCTACTTACCACTGTCCTCTCCCAGCTGAGCAAAGGGCAGCATCCCTTCTGACACACAGCTGCTGATCAGCAGCACTGCTGAAGCTGGTTTTTGGCGAAGATTTTGTGTTTGGAGTTTGTTTTTCTGCCTGTAGGCAGTGTAGGGAGGGCTGGATGGGAGGGGGAGCGGGTGGACACAGCTCCTCGCACAGCGGGTGGGTGGGTGCGACTCACACTCGTGAGTCAGGGCTGAGCTGAGTCACGTTTACAGCAGCCACTGGGAGTGTAAGGTGGTGCTGCTGACAGCTGAAGATGCATTTTGAAAAGCTGTGCGTGAGCAGTACCTCTGACACACCCCAGATTTTATAGCCAGGGCTTCCTGGGCTTACATGATGATGGTACTGCTGCCTTTGAGGTGTTAAATGTGAGCAGTGTTCTGGCTCCCCTGAGAGAAAGCTGCCACTTAGTGTTAAGCAGCATGTTTATGGTAAACACAGGGCATCTGTCTCTGCCACAGTAGCACAGAGGGCACAAAGACTGACAGCAGGTGGAGGGGTCTGAAGTAGCTAAAGGGCACCCTAGGACTTAAGAGCAGTGCCTGAAAGTGGCATCCCCGTGTGTCTATCACCCACTGCTGCAGGCTGGTTTTCCTGCTTCTGTTACTGCCCTGTCACACTTAAGAGGTCAAACAGGAACGAAAATTGTTCTCCAGTGCCCTTAAATTAGCTCATTTATATTAACAGGTTAAAATCTGGCTTGAAACACCACAGAAAAACAAAAAGAAAGCCCCAGCACCACTGAACACTACAGTTTACTGTCACAGAAGCAGCCTGAGGATGCAGCTCTTCACACATCTGTGCCATTTCACACTGGATGCCAGCACAGGGATGCAGCACTGTGACCAAGGGTGAGATCCCCAGGCTGGAGAGAAGCAAACCTCATCCCTCCTGTGTTCCAGGTGCTCATAAGCAGCCTCATTGCACATGCTGCTTTGTGTCACCTCCCAGCCACCAGCTCCTGTGAACCTGTTGGCTCTCAGGCAGTGCCAGCTGGGACCAGGTTTGAACATCTGCCATGGTTACTTACGTGATAGGGAGTGCAGGGTTCAGAAATGGCATTTATCCAACTGCTTAAACAGCATCCCTGTCAAGGAGAGAGCAGAAGTGTCCAGAAGGGCAGCTTCCTCAAGAGAAGGTGAGTTGTGCTAGGTTTGAGGGTTGTGTTCCTCCATTAAACAGCACCAGCAGCACCAGGTCATGGCATGCTCCTTGCAGCAGGGAGGTGCTCATGTCCCTGAGGGGATGGGAGGGTAGACAGCTCCTGTGTCATTCCAGTACCCCTTGCCCCCTCCTGTGCCCCCCAGGGACTGACTGCTGCTAGCAGGGGACAAATATTAGGACAATCCCAAAGCCAAGGTTACAGATACCCACTTGATGGACATCATTGGGACCAGTAGCAAATGAGTGTCATAGATGGTGTTGAGGCTGCTGATTAAATCCTAGAGGTCTTATCAGCCAGGGACTGGTCCTCCCACTGCCTCTTCCTCTGCACTTGGTATTTGCCAGTATTAACATCCCCCTTTTCCTGGTGGAGCCATTGCTGTTGTCACAGCAACTCTCCAGCTCCCAGGGCTGGTTCCCAAGGCAGAATTGCAAACTCCCCAAGCTGTGCTCAGCTTTGGTGCCCTGGCAGCCCCCTGTGGCTCCTGTTCTTCCTGGCTCAGGAACAGCCAAACCAGCAGCCACAGGAGCTGGGACAGGCAGGAGAGCAGGTCTGTCCTCACTGCTCCCTGACTCTCAGCCAAGCCCCAGCTGTGCTCATCACCATCCCTGCCCACCTCCCACGACATGGAAAGCTCATCAACCACTGCATGCCTCCACAAGGCTTCAGCCACTTGGCACTGAATAATTGATGCTAAGTGGAGCCTGGAGCAGACAAGCTGCGGGAGGGAGCAAGGCTTTGTGCTGCTTTAGGCTCTGCTCCCAGGATATAGCAGGGGGAGAGAGATGGGTGTGCTGTGTCTGGCAGCTTTGTGCCCCAGCCAGTTATGCAGAGGCAGTTGGAGTTTGGCTGGGCCTGAGAGTGTTCTTCCTCTTGGCCTTGCTGTGCTGCTCACGTGCTGCTGTGTCCTACTGCCATGGTGGTGCTGCTGTGCTGTCATCCGTCACCTGCTGCTGTGGCTGCGTGCTGCTGTCGTGCTCCTTGTGTGCTGCAGAGGGGCCATGCAGCAGTAGATGGGACTTGGGGAGCAGATCAAGGGCATCTGCTGCTCACGTGCTGCTGTGTCCTACTGCCATGGTGGTGCTGCTGTGCTGTCATCCGTCACCTGCTGCTGTGGCACCTGTGGGAGCTGCAGATCAAGGGCATCCCAGTCCCAGTAGCCCTCGCTAGGGCTGGTGCCATGGCTCTCTTAAGATACACACCCTGCACTCGACCCATAGGAAGAGCAAAGTGGTTGCACATGGGGCCAAGCCCATCTGCCTCTTCCCACCAGCTGCTGGTGGCCAGGATGGTGGCTGTCACACCATCCTCTGAGCAATGTCACTCCCTTCCTACAGCACATTCCCAAGTATAAAGCAGTATATGGAGAAAATAACAGCCTGGCAGTTTAAAGAGGCAGGTCTGACAGCTTCCCAAACCATCTCCCAAATCCTACTGCCTCAGCAGCTAAGGAGGCCCACAGGGCATACACCAGCATCCTCTTCACCTAGAAGGATGTGGACACCAGGATACCACCAAACATCTCACCAGGAGATGCAGCAGGTGGACCCATCCCATGGGCATCCTTACTCCCTGGCAGCATTTACAAGAGTCCAAGATGGGGATGGAGAAGACTTAGAAGGCACACATGAAGACACAAGTCCAAGAAACTGGAGTCACTAAATCCTGGCTATTCTTCCACACAGTAAAACAGGCTCCTCCTAAGACACAGAGAAAAGTAAACTAAGAAATTTCCAATTTTGTCCAAAACTGGTATGAGCTCCCTTAGAGGTACCTGTGGCTACATGGGATGAAGTATCACATGCCCCACTTCCAACCATCCCATTAAGAACCTGGGCCACTCTGGTGCCCTGGAGGCTGCTCAGCCTGGCCTCACATCAGAGCCCTGCTCCTGGGACATCTAAGCCTACAGGCTTAGATAACCTCAGGCTTGGGGAAGCTGTTTCTTGAGTGGCTTTGCTTACCTTTATGGTGAAGGCAAGAAGTGATACAGAAGTACTGCTTAGGCTGGAAAGATGTGCAACAGTGGCAGTAGTCCAGATGGGAAACCTGGTCTGCTCCTCTACCAAACCACAACTGCAGGCGAGGAGGATGAGGCCAGCATTTAGCCAAAGCTGCTCTGTAATACTCAGCCTTTCATTCAGCTTCCCCCACCACCACCCTCACATCTCAGGTCTCTCCCCAGCACTGAGTCATTGCTGCCAGCTCCTGCACAACCCAGGTCTTTGCCAAAGCCCTCAGCAAGCACTGTGCACTCACCTGCTTTGGAGTCGCCCTCTCTGCTGGCTTAGGAGAATGCTCCTGTGGAAGCCCTCACAGACCAAAAGGCATGAGATCTGTTCCAGCACTTGATCAGCATCTTTAAGGACTTGTAAGCAATTCTGGCAGTTGACTCAGCTGTGATGTCTCTGGAGCCCCAACCCCTCTGTAACAGGGTGTGGGGCACTTGAATGATGTGAGAGAAGAACACGTGTTATACGCCTGTCCTGAGACATCTGGACCTGACCAGACTAGAACAGACCTCATCAGCTCTTCTGTAATTTAAGTACGGGTTCAAAGGTGGCACTCCTCCATCATCGGATATGCAGTCTCAACATAATCAGTAGGAGGCTGACTGAAGCCATCTCAGAGCTGGTTTTCACACTGGCTGGAGATCCACAGCACAGCACAAATTTAGTTCAGTTTTGGCATGGCCAGCTGAAGTCATCACAACAGCCAGAGATGAGCTGATGTACTCAAATATAGCAAAAAGCTCACCTCTGTGGACTCTTCCAGCTTCAGCTATGCAACAGGAATAATCAAAATACATTCTGCTCGCCCAAGCTGTGCTTCTGAAGCAGAACTGAGGTACACAACAGAATCCTTGTCATAAGGGAAATAACTGCAGTGTCTGAAAATTTCATCTTAACCCCCCAATTTCTTCTCCAAACCTACATTAACTCCAGGGAAACTGTAATCCTGGTATTACTTTCAGACTCGAGAAGTTCAGCTAGCACATCAGAACACATGGTGAGCTCATGTACCGATGTCCTGCCTGTCAGGGGCCAGCAAGATGATGTCCTATCCCCAGATCATCAGCACCAAGGTAGCAAGTGAAAAAGCTAAGTCAAGAGTAACAGCTCCACCTGAGAGAAGTGATACAATCTGGTTTTTGCCAACAGCAAAGATCAGACCAGATCACAGCTGAGGCATCTTGATCTGTGGTGATTTTCCTCCTGGAACAAAGATGCAGTACGACAATACAAAGTTAATATGTGGTTTTTGGAGACGATCTGTGGTGTCAAGCTTTTCACACCTCCTTTTGCTCCTAACCTACCTCCAACCTTTGGCATGGACTTGAACAATGACCTGAGTCTGGATTTCTTGTGACCCAGTTACAGTAAAAAACTAACCAGCTCTTGTGATAGTCTGTCACTGACCAGGACTGTCTGACAAGCTTGAAAATCTTCCCGAGTGCAGAAACCTCTCTGAAAGATGCTATTACTTCAACTTCCTGCTCCTCACCAAACTCTTCTAAGTAGTTGATATTCTGGCCAGTGCTGTTCTAGCATAGCCTCACCAAGATGTGCCAGTTTCTTGGAACTGCAGCTATTACCTGCCCTGTGAAGACACCTTGGCCCTGGCACTCCCTGGAGCTCTTCAGCTTCCTTGACTGCAGCTCCCAGTATTTGGCATTTGTCTCCCAGCCAGAAATGATGGGAGACTCTCAGTGGTTAGAGCCACCAGGTCCCTGAGAGAGCCCCAGAGTGTTACTTCTCCTCTGAAGACCTCCAGATAGATCTATCCCATCCTTCACCAAGGGCCTGAGGAAGGAAGGGGTAAGTTCTACTGCAGATGAAGAGCACCAGGTTCCTAGTGCAGTAACACTACCAAGCAAGGGCCCCCATGTCATCTTCTAGAAGGACAAAGTACTGCTGTCCTGTGGCCAGTTGTGCACAAGATGCCAACTTTAGGAACAACCCCCATCCGTCCAGTCTTCACACTTGAAACAACTCAGAGTGGGAGTTCAGCACTAGGTTCAGCATCTTCAGCAGTCCTTCGGCACAGGGACAGACACTGCTGTAAACAGCACACCCAGCTAAAGGCAGGGCACTCTCCCCTCAGGTAACTTCTCCCACTCCAGGAGCTGGTATCAGCCCTTCTGCAGGAACAGGGTGCCAGGCAGCTGCAGCCAGGGTGGGGGCTGTGCCCTACAGCAGTTCAGAGCAGGTATTTACAGAAAGCAAGCCATTAGCACAAGTCCTCTCTTGCCCAGGCCAAAAGCAAAGACAGTACCCCCGAGGAGCATGGGAGTTGAATTCTGTTGCTTTAATTCTGCTGCTGCCTGGCATGATGGAGGATGGGGAGTGGGATGGGAGGTTGCTTGCAAGGATGCTGGGAAACCCTGGGTGGGCTGTGGCTTTGTGCTGGGGGTGACCAGGGTTTCTTTACTGGTTTTGCCACGTGAGGCATGTGACTCACACCACCCTTGCTGCTCCCAACCCAGACCAACCTTGGCTGCCAAACCCAGCACCTCTTCAGGCCTGGGCTAGCCCATGCAGAACAGCTCCCTGCCACACTCACCTGGATCACCTTCCCCCTTTGATGCTTCTAATTCTGGATGCCAGGTAAATTAGCCTGTGCAATAGCTTGGAAGAGGGAAAGACAACGAGTACTGAGCTACCCACTGCACTGAATGCAATGCCTTGTCTTGGGGCTGCAAGTAAAAGACACGTAGGTCAGACCTCAGGCAAAAACTCCAAAGGAGCAGAGCTGAGCAGACAGGGTTCCCAACAGATTAGCCCTAATCCAAAACACTCTTACCCACTTGAAACCCAGGGACTGAAAGCCTGAATCCTTTAGTCTTAGTTGCTGAGCAGCCTTAGGCTTCTGCAGTACAGGAGAGCCCTTCTCAACATGCTCACCAGTCAGGAAGCCGTGCACAGGGTAGACAAGGATTTGCTTACCTGTACATACTGGAGCAGCCCAAGGTGTATGTGCTACACAGGTGTTAGCATAGCTAGGGCTGGAGGGGACCAAAAAGTCCCAATTATACCTCTACAGCACAACACATGAGAGAAGTCTTGTGCCAGAAAGAGCTGACAGGAAAGGAATCAGGGAAGGAACAAACTGGTACCAACTGAGGTGAAACCAGCTCTCCAGTCTCCTCGCTGATGCTTCTTCCCTTCCAGGCATTGTATCTGAGGCCATAAATCCCACTAGGACTAGGCAAAAGCAAAGTACTCAAGAGATGCCAAGAACAGGCTTGGACTGGTTGCACTCTTCCACCCTCCCAAAACTTGGGGCCAGCAGAGTTCCAGGTGGGCTGGGGAGGACATAACAAAGACTTGCTGGAGACAGAGACAAGCTGTCTTGCCGTAAGAGCTTGTCTCTCCCACCCCAATCACTTCCATGATCTACAGCATGACCTTGGTCTGTGAAGAGAAAAATCTCAGCACTCTTTCCTCCCCGCCATCCCACCAGTGATCCTTCCAGAGCACCAGCAGCAGCAGCCTCTGGAAGGAGGACACAGCCATCAAGGTGATTTGTTGAGACAATCAAATAATAATTTACTGTGATTCAATCTGTGGCTTTGTACAGTTGCCGGGGTGGGAGGAGGCCAAAGGATGAGGGGATGGGGATAAAAAAAAAAAATTGTTTGCCGCAGGCTTGGGTGAAGTGCGAGATAGTCCATGGAGGGCCACATGCTCCCCCTGTCCTCTTCCTCCTGCTCCTCTCCCCCCACCAATACTCCTCCTCTGAATCCGTTTGCTTCTTCCTTTGCTTCACCTCTTTCCTTGCACACTGCACAGTGGGAACGTCGCCAAGACACGGTCCAGACAGCTGAAACACAAGAGGACACTCATGAGCACCCATTCCCTGTCAGAGCAAGCGAGGCTGTTCCCAGTTCCTCACATTTTGGGATGATCCTGTTAGTGCCCACAGAGCAAAGGCAAAATGCTACACAGGTCTTAGAGGTCTGGGCCTGTCTCAGCAAAGCATCTGTACATCTGCTGAAGGGAACAAGTCTTGGAGTCAGTGGAGTGATGGGTGAGCTTTGGGCACCACACCAGACCTTCTGCCTCTTTCTGAACCTCCTTGTGGGAAGGGGCACTGTTTGGCAAGATCTTTCCACATCCTCCAGGGATGATGGGAACCACAATATGAGTCCAGGGCAAATGCAGCCAAATTTTTTTGGCCACAACACCCACCCTTCTTCTCCCCAAATCCCAGCATGTCTTTGGCTCACTTCTCCTTTTGTGCCTTGATGTTCCTCCCTCTCTGATCTTGGGCACTGCAGCTAGATTAAGCTGGGGTGTCTGGTTCCAGTTTCTGCCTGAACAGAAAAAGACATGGGCAACTCGCAGGGCATGTTCTCTTAACAGAGAGGAGTGTTTCCAGGTGACCCTTTCCCAGCCCTTCTTGCCCAAGCTGGTGCTGCCACCAGGCTGTGACAAGGATTGGGCTCCTGGCAGTCTGTGTAAGGGAGCAGCAGTGCCTGCCAAGCCTATGCTGTCAGCTGTGAGCCAGAGCAGGAAACAAGCCTTGAGCTCATATCCCCATCCGGAGGAAACGCTCCTGAACATCTGGAAGACACAAACATCTGGAAAATCTCCCTTAGCAGTGATAAGTGTGCTGGGCACAGCATTCAGCCGACCTCACACGCCTCAGCTGGGAGCGGAGGGGTGGGGTTCTGGGGTGGGTGTTTGCTCATAGGAAGCAAATGTTGCCAGCACTGTTTTTTTGGGTTTTTTTCCTTGGGAGTGGGGGGCAGGAGGAAGAGCTCTGCTATGCTCATGGCCTCTAGGTCAAAAAGTGTCACAGGAAACGTGTTCATCTCCACCTTCACGAGACACTCTTAATACCATCTCTGGATACAGTGCACTTCTCTTTAGGACTCCACAGTTATTTAAAGGGGTGAACGGCCAGTCCAGGTGCTTGGGAGAATCCCCAAAAGACATTAAGGGCAATGTTCATGCATGCATTTGTCCCAGTCCAAGACATCCTTAGATATAGATCTCCTTGTGGATTCATCCCTAGATACCCCTCTCTAACTTTCGGCCATGAAGGAGTTGGTTACACAGGCAGATGTTTCCAGGCCTTTCACTTAAAGCCAGCCAGCACATGCAGGGACAATAATAGGAACTCTCCCTAACTGCTATCCAGCAGTGTTTTAAATAAACTCATCATTTAAAAAAAAAAATGAGGAAAGAAAAAGAAAAACAGGCAAGTGAACATAAACAATCTGAAAAATACTGTTTCTGGCTCCAGCACACACAATTTATAAAAGCAAACAGCCCCCTTATGGCTAATTCTCAACATTGCATCAGTTCCAAATAGCCCAGGGGATTTATCTAATGGGGAAAATTCTTCTGAGGAACACGGGACTTTTCACAGCGAGACAGGTCTGCTCTAAAGCTTTAGGATGAGGCAATTTATGTGAGTGGATTAGGAGGCAATGCACCCAGCCAGCTCTTCATCTGAACCCTTCTAGAGCCAGTCTAGTGAGTATGCAGTGATCTGTACACCTTCAACACCAGCTTAACTCCTCTTTCAGAGCAGCAGCTTGGGAAGAAGCTTTCCTGGGGAAAGCACAACAAAATATTATTTTTTTAAAATATTCAGTTGTATAGAATTTTGTTGCACAAAATGAGGGGGAGAAATAAACAACCCTTTCCTGCCATACATTTGCTCAGGGAAGTGGGAATTTTGACTTGCCTACGTTTTCACAGAAAAACACTATATCAGTCCAAAAGGTGTTTCATTAAACAATACCTGCTGCTGAAGTTGATCCTGTGGCGCTTGTTTGTAGGCTAGTGCATCTGCACTCACCTCCTGCCCTGCTTCCAACATTCCCCCACTGCAGCTGATGTCCTGCTTCCACCACTTACCATAGTCACGACACCACACATTTACAGTTCATGCAGCCGGGGCCGCTCTCATCCGGGGGGTTCAGCTTGCGCAGCTTGTGCTGCCGGATCTCCCGCACCAAGGTGTAGAAGGCATCCTCAACGCCCTGGGGGAAAAGCACGGCTTGAAGCAGCTGCCCTCTCTGAGGAGGGACAGTGGAGAGGGCTCTGCTCCCCAGCAAGGTGTCCCTAGCACTGTCCAGCAGTGCAGATTGCAGTTAAAGGTACAGAACCAAGCTGGGAAGACTAACAAGACCTGAGTGTGTGTGGCACTCAGAGAGCAAGACTGAATGAGCAACCATGAGGATAATGATCTCTAAAGTCCCTGAGATTCATCAGCTTTCAGCATCTGAATGAGGTCTATCACCCAAGAGAAAAGCCACCACTGAGACCACTGAAGGTGTCAGTTCCATTTCCACCTCTGTGCTCTGGGAGCTCCACATGATCATTTCTGAACTGGTATATTCTGCCAAAATAGACCACAGATGAAGTTAACCAAGTGACCTGAGCTTAGCTGACCTGCAGTGACTATGAAGATTATTCCAGAGCCTTGGAGAAAGCCCTGAGAAGGCATCTTCACTGCTGTCACAGCATGACTATACCCTTCTTGTGATGGAAGGCTCAAGCCTGGACTGGGAGGGAACATCCTGAGGGAGAGAGCACTTAGCCTTGAGGAAGTAACTCAGCCCAGCCCTAACACCCATCTGTCTGCAAGGTGCTGCCTGCCCGTTCCTACCCCTCCAGGCAGCAATGGAGGAGAGAAAAGAGAAAGAGCATTTTGTTTAAAAGTCTCCTCCTACCTGTCTGGTTTTGGCAGACGTTTCTATGTAGGGGATCCCGTAGCTCCGGGCCAGATCCTGTGCTTGCCGGGTCTCCACTGTCCGCGCAGGGAGGTCACATTTATTCCCTACCAGCACCATGGGAACATCATCTGAGTCTTTCACCCTCTTGATCTGCTCCCTGCAAGAGGAGGAGGACATGTGAAGAAGTGAAGGAGCAGGTCCAGAACACGCCCCACCAGTTTCTTTGTTAAGATCTGACAGCTACCCCTCGCTCCTGTTGAATGCCTTGTGTTGAGCTTTCAGGAAAATGTAAATGACTATGGCACACAAGTGAGTAAACAGCAAAACAGGGCACTTCTGGAAATGAAAACTAAACATACTTGTGCTCTTTAAATGCAGCTATTTACAAAACAACTTGAATTATGACAATCTATATTAAGACATGAGCTTAAGATAGTTTAAGTTAAAAATGAATTCGCAAGCAGTTACCTGTGATATTTCCAACATTTTAGGTCAAGTAATTCCCCCCAAATGGGGAAAAAAAAATCACCTGCAACCAGAATTTGCTGAGCTGATAAAGCAGCTTTTGGCAGCTGTAACCTTTTCTGCAGATGCACAGGCAGTATTTGCTCCCTTTCAGTTTAGTTCAGGTCACTCAAAGTTGAGAAACCAACTGGGAACTAAAAAAACTGTAATGCTCACTTCTTCATTCCAACATTGGATCTAAAACTAGGTGGGCGAGGATGCAATCTATCACTTCTAAAAATCCTGAAGGCCATTATGACCACAAAAAATCCGTTCAATTCCCTTCTGATAGATAATAACTTCATTTGCTTAATAAATCATTTAACTTCAGATGCAAAACAGCTTTTTTTTTTTTGCTCATGGGTCCAGAGCATTTAATATGGTTTTAATTTAACAAATAAAAGATTTAAAATGCCAATTTCTGCATTTTGATTGAATGCAAATTTCCATCCAAAGGCAGCTGGACATTCATGCACAAAAGAATCAATAATCTTTTTCTAATGTAGTAGAACATAGAAATGAAGTCTGACTATATGCATGACATGCCATAAAGCCATTTAAATGTTCTGTGTAACATCCTGATCAGCAAATGCAAGTACTAAATTTAGTGCACAGGCTACACTTAGCTGAAAAGAGATACCTCCAAATGGTTACTAACCAGGGAGAGCCAGCATTTCTCTGGGGAATATTCTTTTGAAAGTGCAAACACAAAGAGCACAGGCTAAAGGAGATGAAAGCTAATGGTTTACATCATGATGTCTTGAAATCAAGCCATCTTAGGAGCAATTCACAGGCACCAGCCCCAGCACAAGGATGAATGTTGCTCAATCCCTCAGGTGCTTTAGGAAAATCCCATCCTTTGTTCTTTGGTTCAGCTAAAAGAAGCCAAATTAGTGCACCTGTGCAACTATTATACTGAACAGCCTTTTGGATGAGACTGAAACATCTCAGCAGCTCCAAGCAGCACCTCTGACTATGGAGCAAGGAAGGGATGTGCCTGTCCTCAGAACAACAGAATTACTGGGACCCTGGTTTATGATGAGGGACTGGAATACACAGTCCCTCGTGGGCAGTGACAGAGCAGGGTCAGGCAGAGCCATCTCCTGCATCCTCTGCAAGGGCCTGCCATCGCAGCCAAGGCTCAGAAAAAGGCACAAGCAGAGTGATCCTTCCCTAAAGTAGCATTGGGGTAAACAGGGAAGATTCCTGCTGTGTTTACAACATCCCCTTGACTCTTCAGCTCTGCAGGAGTGACATCAACAGAGAGGAGACTTGGGACAGGTACTGGGATGGTGTCCCTGCTTCGTCACCACTTCCCCATACATCTGCTTGGGCAAATCACCTCAATGGAGCCCTTGGGCAAATCACCTCAATGGAGGACTCCCCTTCTGCTCCATCTTTGCCCTGGTTGAAACCAAGCTCCAGTGGGGCAGAGTCTCTCCACACGTGTGTGCAGCTGGAAGACCACAGCCTGGTTGTGACAGTGGACAGCAGGGCAAGCAGCTCCCTGTGTCCTTCCCAGCCTCCTCTCCCAGCTCTGGGGCCAGCAGAAGTCACTGAGATTGATTGCACTAACAAAGCAATTCCACTAATTAGGGAGGGAAGGGAGGGGGGTCATACAGCTCAGCTCTCTCTTTAGTCACCATAAACACTTGAACATTGCATTACCAGGTCCCCAAAGGCCACAAGCAATCCCTTCGGAAGGGTTTTATTGGAGTCACTGACATTAGCCGTCTGCGCTGTCTCTTCCCTGGGGAACGGCCACTTGAGCTAATTGTCTTTGCTGGCAGTCTGTGCTTCTACCACCAGGGGCCTGACTTAAAAGGGTGGGCAGGAGACTGCAGCAGCAAGGCCTCCCCTTTGCACAGGACAAGTGGGAAAGGGCCCTTCCCAGGATACTGACCTATACTGGTGAATATCTTCAAAGGACTTGGTGTTGTTGATGGCGAAGACACACAGGAATCCTTCCCCCGTTCTCATGTACTGGTCTCTCATGGCACTGTACTCCTCCTGCCCTGCAGTGTCCAAGATGTCTAACAAACAGGTCTCTCCATCGATGACTACTTGCTTTCTGTAGGAATCCTGCAGGCCAGGAGAGGGAAAGGAAGGAGGATGCATTAAGAGAGAGCTTGGATCTGGCTAAACAAAGGGATGCAGCGAGTGCATCCCTGGGAAGATGCCAGGTCATGCTCTGCCTGTGTTCAGCTTCCATTAGAGACAACTCAATCTCTTTCAAAAATGGGAGGGAAAGGAAAAATAATTTAAAAAAAAAACAAAGGAAAAAGGGAGCAGCTAAGCAGGTTTCTCCTCGTCTGTCAGAACCACAGAGAAGACAGCTCCCAGCTTGCTCTCCCCATTCCCAGCCTTGCCACTGGCAGACCAGGTGCAGCTTCATCTCTGTCACACCACATAGCCCTCAACACGTAGTTCAATGCCAACAAGACATTGTTTAGTCTCAGCTCTAATTCCTTCTGCTGGATGAGGAAGGACACTCAGGAAAGGAGCTCTGGCCAGTCAGGGCTTCCAGTCACTATCTGTGATCTGCAGGCCTGGAAGGTGTTTAAGATAACCTGGAAATCCAATGCTTCCAATGCATCTCAAATCAGGCACCAGGGGCAATGCTGCCATCAGTAAGGTTTCAGACTGGGTTTGATGGTAAACCTCTTCTTTAAACATGAGAAAAAAATAAAATAAAATCACACTGTGAACAGGGTGTTTCCCATAACCAGTCTGTGCCCAGAGGGCTGCTTGAGAGGTAAGAACTATCCAGGCAGGTCCTTTGAAGTTGGGGGTTTTCCCTGCAGCAAAGGCAATCACAACTTGTCATAGATGTGAGAAGGTCTGGAAATCACCCAGAGCATCCCTCAAAAGGCTTCATTTTCACAGCAGGCTCCTCAAAGCACTGCTCCTCCCCACTATGCTTCTCCTTGTGCCCAGTCTCATCAGCAGGGATGCTGTGGGGCAGCCCTGAACAGAGGACATCCCTCATCCCTCTCCAACAGCCATCCCCTGTGGACAGTGCAGCATCCTCAGCTGTCAGCAAGAGAAGGAAGCCAAAATGAAAGGTATGAAAAAGGCACAAGTCAGCAGTACAACCACACAGTGCTTTGCAGCTACTCGCAGAGGCTACGGCTGCAGTTTAAAATTAATTCAAATGTCGGCTGCTCTTCCAACGACCACAACAATGTTATCAGATGAGCTTTGCAGGTCTGCAGACAAACAGCTGACACAGCAAAGGGCACCAACAGGACTGGCAGCAGCACAGAAAGGGAATGGGGCCAACATGGCCTCTATCCTTTGGTTCATTACAACAACGTCATTTGCTGAGGCTAATTAAAGTCTTTCCTCACCTTGCAGAGAGGGCTGTGAAATCAGAGATGAGATCTGCTCTGCCACGACCTTCTCAGCTGTGCCTTCCCAAAAAGTGGACTGCTGACCCATCGAGAATAAGCATGGAGTGAAAGCTGGCTTTCAGCCAACTGCTCTGAAGGCAACTGGCAGGCTGCCCTGCAGAAATGTGCTCCCATTTCTAATCAATAATGTATCTGGAGCCTCCTTTGTGCAAGGGGACCTGAGTGCCTTCTCTGCCCCACAAAGCATCCTCCCACTTCTGCACCTTGGCTTGGGACAGAGGACCAGCCTCTCAGCACACATGTTCACAATTAATTGCCAGGTCCCCAGTTCCAGGACGTTTCACCAGCACCCAGCATGCTGACAGAGAAGAGATCCCACACCTCAGGTCATCAACAGGCCACCCATAAGGCCAGTCTGGCTTACAAGGCAGAGACATAAAACAATCTTGCAGAGGATGCTTTGCAAAGGAAGGGGACAAGTTCTCCCCATCAATGCTTTGTGTACAGCTTCATTCAATCTCCCCCTCCCCAGGAAGCTCAGGATGGCAGCTCAGCTGTCCCTGCCACATGACCAAGTGACATGGCTGCCACTAGCCCACACCAGCACCCTGCAGCCTCAGCGCTCCTCTGCAGCCCTGCATGTCCCACCCCTCCCTGAGCAGAGGGGAATGCAGCCAGACCCAGCTGTGAAGTGCCAGGCAGCAGAAACAACATCTGTTTGGGGTTCAGACTCAAGATCCCAGGCGGATGCCGGGAGCAGCCCAGCTGTGCCGGGGGACCAGGCCAAGAGGCCCATTTGCTAAGCACTACAGTCAGGATATGCATGACCAGAGGTTTGGGCAGCCCATTACTAGCTGGCTGCTAAGAGCTGGAAGATGAACTGAAGAATTTCTCAACAGAGTGAAACTCTTTATTCCATCCCTGCTTATTCACCATGGGACAGTGCCAGTGACATACCTTTCCTTGCTGCCTTGGCCCTCCTGTTCCCAAAACAAAGGTCCTAAGGTTCCTTGGCAGCCCAAGAGCTGGCCTGTGAGAATGTGCTGTGGTGGGGTGGACAGCATTGAGTTACAGAGCCAAACGTTTGCACTGGTGAATCAGGAGGGTAGGAGGGGAGCAGATACCCAGTCAGGGTCTCTACCCCCATACAGAGAACAAAACTCCATGCTTCCTGCTCTGGGGAACATCTCAGTGTACCCCAATCTTCTTGCACCCTGCTTTGCAGCACAGCCTGTGCTCAATCCATGTGGGCAGTGGGCAACGCCTTTGCTCCATGCACGTATCATCTTTTCCCCCCACTTTTATCCTGCTCATTTCAGCATTGCTGTGCTGCTTGTTAGCTGGCTGAACAGTCATAGTCAGCTCCTGGGCATGATCCAAAGCAGCTTAGTCACAGGAAGGTGGTTTGTTGGTCACATTTGGATGGCTGGCAGGTAGCTCTTGGTCTCTTAAATCCCCATAAAATGAAGCATAATTAAAAGGAATTACCCTGAAATGAATCAGTAGTTGGCCGGGGTAGCAGCGAAAGCAGGGTACAACCAAGGGAGCTGCAAAGGCATCAGGGCTGGTGGTACCCGCAGGTGGAAAAGTACCAGGGGTGGGAGGGCTGGAGAGCAGCTTGTGGCAGCTTTTGGAAGAGAAGAACAGAATGGGGCTGGAGTGAACAGTGGAGGAGAGAGCAGGCGTCTCCCAGAGCACTGCAGAAGTGCGTAGGGTGAAGAGGGTGTGCTGGGAAATGCCATGCAAGGTTTACATTCCCTGCTGCCTGTTTACATGGAGAAAATTCCCTGCAGGGTACGTACAGGGAGCAGGCAGCTGGAGACAAAAACCACAGGATGCCAAAACCCAACACATCACTGGTTAAGAGTTGCCTCTGCCCACCTAAGGTCCAAGAGAGGATGCATCCTTGCAGTTGTCTCCCCAAGGAGGGTGCTCTCCATGAACACTCTTTTAGCAAAAACAACCTGGAATGGTTTTCTGAGAAAAGTATACAATACTACTGGGGACAGCCACATGAGGGGAGAGGAGCTGGGGACAAAGGCAATTGCATCCATAAGCAAGGAGAGTCAGGAGCCCTAAATTAAATTCCAGTCTCTGACATGGATGTTCTAGGTGACCTTGGCCAAATGATGTAATAGCACGTGCTTTTTAAGTGCTTTCTCTCCTTCCCGTCTGTAGGATTTTAAGACTATTTCTGCCTTTCTACCAAGCCTTGTCTTGCTTGTTTATGTAAGCTCTTCAGGGTGGGGACTACACATACAACACCTACCAGAATAGATTTCTCATCCCAGCTGGGGCCTTTAGCCATTATGATAATAATAACTGCAGAAACCACAGCTGCATTTATACACATCTGGTAGAGAATCCTTTAGGACTGCAGACAGGGAGGTTGTTGTTCAAGAGGCATGACAGAGCTGCAATTTGCCTTCCCAGGGTGGATTTTACTCCTCATGCAGAGCAGTGGCTACTGCCTACGTCTCACCCAACAAAGGTATAAGTCATGCAGAGGCTAATTAGCGCATTGCTAACTATGGTGAAAGCAGACGGAGAATGGAACATATTTTTGAAAAATGGAAGAAAATAATAATAGCACAATGGATATTGAAGACTGAATCCCCCTCTGCCCCCATACAGCCTGTCAGGACCACAGGGTCCCTGCCTGCTTCTTCAGGCAGGGTGCTGAGCTAGATAGGTCAGTGCTGCCATCCACACCGACTGAGACACACACATCAGCCTTTAACTCCTTGTGAAGAAGCAGAGGCAGCACTCTGGGAGCACAGCAGTTCAGCTGCTCAGCACGTCTTGCTCAAACTGCAAGACATCCATAATACAACCAAGCTCTGATAAAACCCATTTCATCAGTAAAGCTCAAAACATCCTACAGAAAAAGTCAATACATTTACTCTGATTTCACAGGAGGGGCAATGGAAGCACAGGCACAAAATGGCTCTTCAGTTCTAAACCTTTAATCCCTCCCTATGTTGTCATCTCATCAGAAAGGAAGACTTTTGTGCTGCCTCTCAGCCCCTGCCCTGCTCTGCCTGTCTACCATGTCACCTCTCCTCAGCAGACACCACTACCCTTCTGCAGGAGATGTTCAGTCAGTCTCTGCGACCTCTGAACACACACACAGTGACTCAGAATAGCTCTGCAAAGCAGAGGAACATCCCGCCCAAGTTCAGACTTGAGACCAAACTGAGCATGCTCTGGGTTGGAGACCAGGTGGAGAAAAGCAAGTGGAAAACATGCAGACAGACTGACCCCATGCCCAGAGCCACTTACCTCTATTGTGGGGTCATACTCATCAACAAAATGGTTCTGAATGAGCTGTATCGTCAGAGCACTCTTCCCAACACCACCTGCTCCCACCACCACCAGCTTGTATTCAGTCATCTTCCAGCTGACCCCAGCTCAGGACTTCCAGGAGCACCACCACCTGCAAGGACAAACATGGTCACTGTGCTAAGAGAGGTTACTTTAAAATGGGCAAAATAATCCATCAAACCAAATAGAAAAACTCTCTTCATCCTGTGGTCTGTTGCAATCCTTCAGCCTGACTGTCTGGATGCAAACTTCACAGGTTCCTTGAGCAAACTTCAATAGGAGAGTATTACTGATGAGAAAACAAGAGGTACAGGATGTGTACATCAACCCCTAAAGCAACCAGTGTAAGAAGTCTGGTTTTGCAGAAGTGCTCAGCACTGTCCCCAGTTTACCTTATCTCAAGCTGATGATATGAAATCTTTAGATAGATTTGAAACCCTTGGCCAATGAGGTTGGGATGTCAATTCCCACAAGAGCAGGGGAAAAGGTCCAGCCCTGCCCAAACATGCTGCTACCTCCATGTCTTCACCCTCAAGGCTGTGTCAAACCTCAAACCACACAGCAGGGCTGAGACAGTGGCACATGCACTTCCTCTGCCTGTCCTCCAGCTAACAGTGCTCCTGTCGTGAGAGGGAGGACTGCAGAAGGGGCATCTCTGCTCCCTGAGCTCGATTTGGCACACCCAACAGAGGGGAAAGAGATGCTGTCACAAAAGGTGCTGACTGACAGTGATGGTTAGGGTCAGGATGAGCAGACCACACTTCTGCAGTACTGTGTACCTCCCATGGCCCTTCAGCAGCAGAAGATTCACATCCCCCCAGCTCCTCCCTTAAATTTCTGCTCCAAGTCTGCTGAGAAAGAGGAACTAACTCAGGAAGTTTACAAAACCCCAAAGGTTTAAATAGAAATCCACCCTCATTGGACTGCAGGCCCTGCCCACTGGAAGTCACTCCAGGGTCAGATACTCGTTCTCAGCCACCATCTGCAAGCTCTGGGGAAGCCACCCAAAATGCAGCAGGTAGCAGGAAGACAAGCTCACAGTTCTCCTTGTCAGACAGCCTTCAGTGTTCACAGGGATTAGAACCCCCTCCTCCATCCTCCCACCCCAGGTAGTTAAATCACTCCACCCTCCTCCCCAGGCTTGCCAGCCCTGCTTCTAAACTCTGGAAGCTGCTACAAACTGTGCCAGCAAAGGCTGCTCTAGATCCAGACCACAGCTGATGCATTTGCTAAGACAGCAATGATCTAATGGCAAGGAAGCCAGAAGTTTTTGCCTTCAGTCCCCTCCTGACTGCAACCCTAAACCACCCAGACAGTTTCATCTCCCTCTTGAGCAGGGAGCAATCAGACACAACCATCTCTTGCCAAAGCCCTTTCTTGAGCTGCTGTCTTCATAGCAGAAAGGCAAACAAAGCTCATGCCCTTCTCAGCATCAAGAATCCTAAAGAAGGACAAACGAGGGGTGGAGAAGAACAACCAGGTGACAAATACGATGCCATGCAGGACCTCTGATTTCCTGTGCTGGAGAAGCAGTTAAACATGATGGAAAAGTGGTGATGGTGGGGGGAAACAAAGTGCAAATAATGTCACACCCTAGGTGCCTAACTGAAAGTGACACTGCTTCCTCTGAAAGTCCAGTGTGCCTCTGTTCTGGCAGCCAGGGAAGAGCAAGGCTACAGGAGAGAATCTGCATGATTTCACTAATTGACTGTCCACACACGTTACTCTGCTCTGCTAATGCATGCCCTCAATGTCATGTTGTTCTCACATGCACTGCTTCTTAGGGAAAAGAGAGATCCCCACCCCAGGCTTCTCATCCCTCTGGGAAGAGACAGGATGAAAAGGGGACTGAGGAGCAAATGTCGACTGACCACCTCCACCAGCACAGCTGTTGGGGAGGGAATCGCTCCTTCAGCAAACAGCTTCACAGCTGAACACAGAGGGGTCCTGGGGGTGTGAAGAAACACTGCCACTAGCTCCCACCTTTCATTACAGAGCAGGCAGATCTCCATCCCCCAGCAAAACACACGGACTTTGCTCTGCATCTGAAGATGAAGCAGGTGCCACAAAGATGCTCAAGGAAACTGCCCAGGCCTGTAGGACTTGCTGAGGCAGCGAGAAAAGCTTTGAGTCCCCAGAGGAGGAGAAGACATAAGTTCTCTAGGAGAGGCTTCTCCCTCAAGACCACCACAGTGGAAGGCACTGCCTACTCTGTTGGAAGACCCCCAGCCCACACAGCCATAGCAGCTTTATGGTCCACACTGCAGCAGGAGGTGGGGACAAGGTGGTCACCCACAGTAGCTTGAGTGTCTTCCCCTGCTCCCAACCCCAGCTGAGCTCCAGTGCACAGCAGAGGGGCTGCCACACACCAGCAAGCCCTGCATATCACCGCCTTAGCACAGAGTTTTAAGGTCTGGCTCCTCCACAGAAACACAAACCCACATCTTGTCCCTCATGCACCCAAGAGGCAGGGAAAATGAAGGGGACAAAGGAACTACTCTCTGCTTGTGGCCCACAGATGGACAATTTACAGGGAAGAGCTCTGCAATGCTGGTGTTTGCTCACTGACACCATCCCTCGAAGGTGCTGTCATCCCACTGCTCTGCCATCCTCGCCCTGCATGGTAGGAGAGATTCTGCAGCTCGCAAAGGAGGACAGGTCCAGCCTACCTGCTCCATACCATTGCTGTTAAACATGTCCTAATAGAGAGTGAGAGCATGGGGAATGATGGACAGCTCCGGGCATGAGAGCTGCCCCAATTAATGTGGGCTAAAATCAACTCAGGGGAGCTCGCTTCCTTTCCCCAGTGCAAGCTCCTCATGGGCAGTGTGCAGACCCAGCAGCACACCAGGGCATGGGCAAATTCCACAGAAAGAAGCAGCCTAGCCAAAGGCTGCAGGGAAAGCAGAGGTTTCAATATGGCCAAACTTTGGCAACTAGTCCTATCCTTGAGCTTACCAACACCCTCTTGTAACACCCTCATCACACTTTTTGCTCCTGAACATGGGAAGAGCAAGGCTGCTCTTCGATGCACCCATAGTTTCAACACAGGGGTGGCTGTTCCTCAGCGCCACAAAAACATCACCACCACCATCACTACCACCATAGGGGCTGATTCAAGGAACAACCACCCCAAAAGCAATGTTTCTGGCTTCCTATAAAACAGATACAGGGAAGAGAGAGTGGGGTTCCTGTCAGAGAGATGGTAACAGACACCCCAGTCTTCATGCTGGTGACACAGCGGATGGAGGTTTACAGCCTGTTGGTGGTTGTGAAAGCTTCTCCTGATGTGAGGATTTCCAGTTTCTATTGCTCAGCAGCCAACACAGAGCCCACACACAGCTGACCACAAAATAACTGAGTGAAACACAAAAGCACAGCCTCCCAGTCCCACACGGAGCAGGAAAATGTTTCTTCCATCTTCTGCAAGCTCTTCAAGATCTGAAAGTCTGATCCAGGTCACCATCTAGTGTTTCCCTATCCAAATTTATCACCTCTGCAGCACTCTGCTACTACACCCCCCAAAAGCCACACACAGGGCTGTCAAGCAACAGTTGAGAGAGACAGCAAGGAGGAGAGCAGTTCCAGGAGCACCGTCTGGAAAGAGCAGGGCTGGGATCCGCGTGCCAAGCCAAGAGCCCCAGCGTGGAGCTGGAGCTGCTGTATTTCCTGACCTCGTGGATTTTCTCCTGTAGTGAGGGCTCCTGGCTCCCGTTCAAAGCTGTCTAGGAAAGCCTCGCCGAGTGCTTCCGCCTGGCAGCAGCAGCTGCTCCCAGCCCAGTAGCCAGAGCCACAGAGCTCCAGCAAACAGGAGCCATCTGCCAGCCTTGAGCAGGAAGTGGGGACAGCAAGCACCCAGCCCCGGCGGACACCAACATCCTACCTTTGTCTCACAGGGAGGGGATGGAGGTGTGGGTGAGGCAGAGGGCACAGCACCTCCCCTGCCTGCACATGCTGGGTGGCAGCATGGAGGCCCTGCCTGCAGAAACAAGGACCAAGATGCTTGGCAGAAGCTGTCACAGGGCTAAGACCTGAAGTAGGTCTGAGCATCAAGGCTACAGGTGTTGCCCAGAGATCCAGCTGTGTCCTGCAAAACACAACCTGAACTTCTTCATGGTCCCTATTCTCTATCCTAGAGAGGTGGTTTGGGAGACCTGACTGTGAAGCCTCCAGAAACTCACTCAGCACAGGTAAGGAACTCAAGGGGGCCCATCAGTACATCCCATCTCACCACCACAGTTCCAGCAAGAGCTCAGGTGCCAAGCAGAGGGATACACAGTGGGTGTCCAACACATTCACCACATGGGAGCCTCTGACACCCTTCCAAACAGAATAACTAATTGAAGGAGCTTTGTCAGTGTCCCCTGTTTCTTCCCATCACTTTATTTCTCTCCCAGTACAGACAAGCCAGCTAAACAAGAGACAGATGTTTGCACCATGCTGCTGTAGTAAGGCCAGACATGCCAGAAGTTTTACTGCTGTTCATTATTGAGCATTCACCATCACTGCACCTGCCCACTGGGAGTTTCTGCATTTAAAGGCATCAGAAAGAAGTCAGTTTCAACTCTGCAAATCTCTTTGGGCTCATGTCAGACCAGGAACCCTTTCCTCTAAAGCCCTGTCCAGAGGAGCCATATGACAACAAATGCCACTGTGCTTGACTCTATTTCCCTTCAGCAGAGATGCCCTGCAGGCAGAAATGGTGTGCAGTGCTCCAGGAGAACAACATTCATCCCAGTCTTTTACCAGCAGTCATCCACACCCCCACATCAGGAATCCTACCCAGTGATCTCTGAGCATTGATGAAACAAACCTTGTTGGCTTACCCCAGTGACTGTCCAGTCTCCTCCATTTGCTCATGCACAAGACTGTCATCAACATCACAAAGCACAGCCTGTGGAGGGACTGAAGGAGCCTCTCCAGTGGTGTGAAATGCCACCTTTTGTTTCCACTCAAGGACCAAAATGCTGGTGTTCTTTATGGCCTGTCCAGCCCCAAAGAGATTAGGGAACTGAGGCTGGCAAGCTGATGCTCTGTTATGAAGCCTATTCAATGCTTCATTTTAATTTACTTGTTGCTTTTTAAACCAACAAGTGAGCTACAAATCTAACC